AAATATGGTGTCTTGGATTATGCGGGTGGCGGCCCCGTTGAGATTGGATCCGGGTTGTCTGCTTTCGCCTACTCGATGGTTCTCGGTCGCCGTCAGGAACGGATGATGCTCAACTTCCGCCCGCACAACGTGTCGCTTATCCTGCTGGGTACAGTCTTTCTTTGGTTTGGATGGTTGGGATTCAACGGTGGCTCGGCTTTTGGCGCCAACTTGCGTGCCACCATGGCGTGCTGGAATACCAATCTAACTGGAGCGTTCGCGGCCATGACCTGGGTTTTGCTCGATTGGCGTCTTGCACGCAAGTGGTCCATGGTCGGCTGGTGTTCCGGCACTATCTCCGGCCTCGTCGCAGCTACTCCGGCCTCGGGTTATATCCCTCCCTGGGCCAGCGTGATTCTGGGTGTCGTCACCGGCATTGTTTGCAACTACTCCACCAAGGGTAAGTCCGATGATATCCTCACTGCCTAAAAATGCTGATTCTAATAATCACAGTGAAATACTGGGTTGGAATTGATGACTCCATGGATGTGCTTGCTGAGCACGGAATTGCGGGTGTCGTCGGGTTGATTTTCAACGCCTTTTTTGCGGATGATGCGATCGTCGGGCTGGACGGAGTCAACACGGGATCCGGCTCGGGTGGCTGGGTGATTCACAACTGGAAGCAACTATACATACAAATCGCTTACGTCGTCGCTACTTGCTCCTACGCTTTCGTCATGTCTGCCATCATTGCGTACGCCATCAACGCCATTCCCGGTCTCAAGCTGCGCGCCTCGGAGGAAGCAGAACTTCTGGGTATGGACGACGATCAATTGGGTGAATTCGCCTACGATTACGTGGAAGTCCGCCGTGACTACTTGGCCTGGACCCCCCAGAAGCACGACCAGCTGGAGGATGGCCACGAGATTCCTGCTGCAGCGCGGTACGGTATCGGCGAGCACAGCGAAATGATGCTAGACGGACACGCCCCGGTTGGCGTGGACAGTCGTGGCTGCAGCGAAGGCGACTCGGGCATTCAGGAGATCAAGATGGCGCCGGCGCCGCGCCAAGCGGCCGAGCAACATCCGGCGCACGAGCCCGCGCCCATGGGCGAGCCGGTAGCGGCGATTCCCATGCAGGAAAAGATCGACGCCTGATGAGCATCTCGCATATTTGTTATCTGTTTTTTCTGTTCTATTATGATATCCAGCGTCGCCTTGCCCCCGAGCCAGTTTTTGCGGTTGCCCTCCATGTTCTGTGTATCATTTCCGGTGTGGGGGTTACTCATCGGATTATCTTGTTTTTTTTTTCTACCCCTAAACATGGCGTTATGTCGGGTCAGCACACCCGCGGGTTCTGTATACCTCTCTGCTGGGTGCTTTGTATATACTAGCTTCTTTAGCTGGCGGGAGGGTTTTCTTCAGTGTTCAGGATTGATACCAGCACAAGCATAGATTTGATTAATTTGAGAAAACATATATAATTCGAGCACGGTGCAATCGTATCTATATGCTATTCAAGGTGGTTCCATTGGTAGGTGATTTCAGTTCATCACCACACTCACTCGCTCACACTGGCTCAGTTGTCGTCCGGCCTGGCGAGAAGAAAGCTCATCTAGCTAATTTGTCACATGCGTGGCCAGCGGGGCTCCCAAGCACGTGGATCCCATGGCAGAGCTGCAGAGCCGCAACCCCCTGTACTATTCTATGTTTGAAGTACGTAGATGGAAGCAAACGATCTTCTTTGATTAGCGGGTATTGGCCGTTCCTCGCCCAATAGCCTCGACACGGTCACTATATGCCGTTGATGAGTATATATGAACAACCCCACTCATCTATAATGTGTATATATGTACTGTACATTCATTCGTACCCTCAAACCATTTACATGCATACCCTTTGACGGGGAGCAAAATGGGGTGGACTGTTCCCGTCCCGCTTATGTACGTTTAGCCAGTCTCTGTTTGACGACCCTGGCTCGGACGCCGAAACGAAAATCCATGAAAGGGGTCTTAAGCTCGTCGCACCATGGCCCGAACCCTCATCCGCTCCTCCCGACTCAGCTTCTCGACGACCTCCGCCGTCTCCCCGCCGCGCATCACGTCTTCCCACTCGTCCTCGTCCATGCCCATCACCAGCACCATCTGCAGACACCGCACGAACGCGTCCCGGTGCCGATACCGGCCCTGCGAGCCGCCGACGTCCACCGCCGCGCCGACCACGCCGGAGACGTCGCGCTCGAGCCGCGTCGCCCCGAGCGCGTTGACCCGGCCGTGGTAGCTCCAGAGCCTCTTCTCCAGGAGCCGCGCCAGATACGCCACCGTGACGGTCAGGAGGCGGTCGAAGGCCGAGGCGGTGAGGATGCGGCTGATGGGGAGAAGCAGCTCGTTCCACGCGGTCGCGAAGCGCGGGCGCACCAGCTCCGCGCCCGGGTCGGCTTCCCCGTCGGCGGTCCCCGCGTCGGGGCCGCCGATGATTGGGTCGTCGGAGTCGTAATACTCGTTCATGCTCGGGATCGCCGGGGCGTGGTAGACCGTGCGGACCGGGTCGGTGTCGTCCCGGGGCTGGTATTCGATGTCGCGGAAGGCGTCCGACAGGATGGGCCGGAGGCGGTGTTTGATGACGTTGTTGAAGATGACTTGGATGCCGTCGTTGAGGAGGTCGGTGACCTTGGACTCGAAGGTGCTGGCGAGGGAGTGCAGGGTTTGGGATGCCAGTTGGGCTTCTGTAGGGCTGGGGAACAGCGCCTGGATCGGGTCGGTGCTGGTGGACGACGGTTCGGTTTGGCTGGCAATCGAGTGCTCCGTATGTTTGTGAAGGATGCGCCGGATGTAGTCGACCGCGACGTCGAGGTTATTGATGAGCACGAGGAAGGAAATGGTGAGTGATTCCGGAGGCTGGGCGCCTTGGACCGCGGCGCGCGGATAGCATTCGTCACGCATCTTCCGTTGAGTCATGCCGATGAAGTCAGAGCCGAGGACGCGCGAAACCGTCGGGACGACGTTGGTGACGACGCTGATCTGTGACGTTGCTAGGGACTGTTGCAGGACTTTGTTGACAATGTACATGATGTCGTCTACGGCGGAGGTGATGTGTGGTGGGTCGGCCTTCAGCGGCTTATGCGGATTGAGAGTCAGGCCGGATGGCTGCTCGTCGAGCTGAAAGGCTTTCTCTACGGATCGACGGAAGAAGAAAGTCGTCATGGTGTTGAAAGGGGCGGCGAGACGTTCGTTAATCTTTCTAGCAAGGGAGGATTCACGAAGGAACTCGGGAAGGGCGAATTGGTTGGTGGACTCATTCTCCCCGGGAGGCTGGCATATCGTCAGTATCAGGTTACAACTGGGGAAATTTCATGGGGAATTTCAGCAAGGCAAACTACATTACAGGTGTCTGCTAGGAAGCGGCAGTATAGAGACCAGCGTCCTAGCATAACGGCCATTTCGTTGAGGAGCCCGTCGATTTCCTTCATGTCGACGCCCTCATCCTCGGCGGCTCCGTCGCGGGTGGCAGGCGAATTGGATCGAGGGGTGCCACCGCCGCGCTGGGGCGGCAAGAAGCTTTGCACGAGGAAAGTAAAGGCATAGGACTTGATATCGGTCAGCTTGCGATCTACATGACGCTCATCGCTCCAGGTGTCGAGGATGATGCCACCCTGAACATCAGCCTCAAGCTGGAGACGCTCGATGACGCGGTTCATCTTGCGAGGGCCATAATGGCGCTCGACGAGGCTGCCGTGGCCGTCAATAATCTGGGCGATATGTTCGAAGAGCTTGGTGAGTGCGCTGGCATAGAAGAAGCCGTCTTTGGCCTGACCGCCACTAGCATTAAGATTGGATCGAGCGCGAGCGGCGACACCCTGACAGACGTAGCGGCCGTAGACGTCGAGACCGACCTCGGAGCGGCCAATGAGGGGAAAGAGCTTGAAAAAGCGCGTGATACGGGCACCATTGTTCTCCTGGACGGCCTTGTCAAATTCGCGCAGGAAGAGGCCGCATAGTGACTCGGCGGCGTTGTCGAGGGTGACATGGGGCGGGTCAGGCACCTCTGCGGTGGGCACCATCTCCGCCGCAAAGGCACCTTGGATCACCTCCGGGGGGATCTTGGCTGCGCGGTGCAGGTAGCTCGCCGCAGTCTCCCAATCTTGCGGGGCCCCCATCGAGCCAGCCACTCCCAGTACACATGCCTTTAGCTCAGCAACCTGATCCACCACAGCGAGGGTGGCCTTCACACGAGATTGTTCGCGATCTAGACGACGAACCGCGCTGGAAATGCGATCGGCGGTGGTGGCCGCATCGGCGAGCATGCCATGGCTGATGGCACGCGTGGTACTAGTTTGTGAGCCCAGGTTCGCACGAAGCAAATCCAATCGTCCAAGTTCGCGCGAGAAGTCCTTCTGGGAAGCAACAAGAGCATCTAGGCGGGCAGTCACCGAAGCTTCCTGCTCATGTAGGTGAGACAGCGTGGCCTTGATCTCGGCGACGGAGCTGGCGTTGAAGACGGTAGTAACGGTGTTGGTTGGGCTGAGTGCGGCGTCAGGGTGGCCATTGGCCTTGCTAAGGGAAGGATTGGCCATCGCCAATAAGGAAAGCGAGCAGCTCTGGGCTGCGACAGCAGTCAATGTGTTATCACAAAGGATGGAAAGGAAAGGAGGCCATCGAAGCCATTCCGAACAACATGGCCGTATTACGGAAGGCGGTCAGCGGGCGGGGCTTGATGCCTCAGGTGTGAATAACAACATTGATAAACTGTAACTTAGTAAACATGAGTCTGCACTGATAGTTCGGTACGTTGGAAGAACGGAAAAGAATCAAGAGGGTGAAAGCAGATAGATAGCTTCTTGAGACATGCCTGATTTGTTGTCAAAGAGTGACCAAGCTGGTGAGTGAAGGTCTGTATACTGAGTAGCAGATGGTTGACACCTGAGGCGGAGACCAGCTTGATGATGAGCTTTTCTTTTTTCGGAAATTGACCGATTTTCATCCCGACGTCATCTCGGAATTTCTTCCATTGCACTGCACGCCACTTTCGGCTACTTTTTTTTCGTGTCTCGAGGGGATCACGCTCTTCTCAACGCGCCATCACTATAACTGCGCACGAATCATCACCTGTATCACTATCCCATCAAGTACGGCCTTGAATTGGCCGTGTTGCTCGCATCATGGGCAACGAATCCTCCAGTGTGGTGGACGAGAAGGCACCTCCGTCCGTGCTGGAGAAGCGCACCATCGAGGCAGTCGCCAAGTATATCCTTGAGAAAGATGTGCGACGCATTGTGGTTATGGTAAGGGGCGTCTCCGCACCCGAAACAGAGTAATCGCTGACGAGAGAAACCCAACCATCAGGTGGGTGCAGGCATCAGCACCTCGGCCGGCATTCCCGATTTTCGCTCCCCTGACACGGGCATTTATTCCAACCTGGCCTACCTAGATCTACCCGATCCCGAAGCCGTATTCGACATCAGTTTCTTCCGCGAGAATCCCAAGCCCTTCTACACCCTGGCCCGCGAGCTCGCCCCGGGCCGATATCGACCCACGATCGCACACTCGTTCATCAAACTGCTCTACGACAAGGGGCGCCTACTCAAACATTTCTCGCAGAACATCGACTGCCTCGAACGTCTGGCAGGGGTGCCAGGGGAGATGATTGTTGAAGCCCACGGGAGCTTTGCAACCCAGCGGTGTATCGACTGCAAGGCGGACTACCCAGAGGACCAAATGAAGGCAGCTATCGCTAAGGGAGAGGTGCCTTACTGTCTCGAGTGCAACGGGCTTGTGAAGCCGGATATTGTTTTTTTTGGGGAAGCGCTACCGTCGGACTTCTTTGACAGCCGCGATTTGCCGGAAGAGGCCGATCTCTGCATTGTCATGGGCACCAGTCTGACGGTGCAGCCGTTTGCTAGTTTGCCCGGGTTCTGTCGCGATGGGACACCGCGAGTGCTGATCAACATGGAGCGGGTTGGAGGACTGGGGTCGCGCCCAGACGACGTCCTGGTACTGGGGGATTGCGATACCGGAGTGCGTCGATTCGCTCGCGCTTTGGGTTGGGAGGAGGAGTTGGAGGCGCTGTGGGAAGCCACCAAATTGCCGGAGGACTCCGGCGCACAGACGGTAGAGAATACACCGCCTCGGACGCGCGAAGAGCAGTTACAGGAGGAAGTCGAGCGTCTCACGGAAGAGGTCGATCGCACGCTGGGTATCTCGCAGGCCTACGAACAACGTGTCCGCCAACAATTAGGGGGCCCCGTCGCGGGGAAAGCGGATCGCGCAGATCGAACCGATCCGGCGAATAACAGCAGCAGCTCGCATGCGGGGGAGACAAGCACTGAAGGGCTGGCCCATGTCTTCCCTCATCTGACACGGGCCACAAAATAAGATGATGCATCGGAAAGTTTCTTAGCAAGAAGTCGTGGCTTATTGGCTTCTTTTTTTTTTTTTTTTTTTTCTTTTTTTGGACGAAGACGGGAAGGGCATGAGAGGGAGAATAGATGGGTTTAGGTGGCTGGTCGACCATTCCGCCCGGATCGGGCGTGTCGACCGCGAAGGGAGGATTTGCTGATGAATTCTAATGACCCTGATGAGTAGACGATCGATAAAACAAGGACAGACCAAGACAAGAGTTATATTCGCATATAGTAATGATGAGACAGGAATCCAAATGCAATAGGATTATGCCTGGTGGGAGTCAATTCCCAGCCCTAAAGCAACTCCCTTTCTCCCTCTTCGCTCCCCACCTCCACCATCTGAGCATTCTTGAACTCCGCAGAAGGAAGTGGGAACAGTCGGATGCCCCTGGAGCCATTAGTCCATTGCGCACTCGAAACTCCATATAAAGACCGATCATGTTTCAAGGATTACAATTGATGAAGACTATTGACTAGACATCGTATTTATTTTGACCCGCCGCGACCCAAGCCAGTCACCGGTGAGGAGAACCCGCGCCGAGTGGCCAGTTGCCCCCGATCATATTCCCCGCCAAACCCGACCTTTTGCGACCTTTTGCAACCTTTTGCCCCACGTCGTCATCGCCGTCTTTCTTTCTTCTCGCTCCTCTTGTCTCACTCTCACTCACTCATTCTTACTCCGTCCTCTCTCTCTTTCTCCTCCCTCTCACACTCACTCCTCCTTCCCTTCCATCATACATCCCATCCAACCCTCTAATTTGTTGCAATTTCTCTTATACCCCTCTAATCATCACGATTCGCAATGGTTGGACTCGGTCCCAAGCGCCCCCCTTCCCGCAAGGGTATGCCTCCTTGCCCTCCATTCCCTCGGGATGCCGATTTCCAGTTGACCCGACCATAGGATCCATGGCCGATGTGCCCCAAAACCTCCTGCAGCACATCAAGGAGTTTGAGGATATGTTCACCGTTGACCGGGCCACACTCAAGAAGGTTGTCGACCACTTTGTGAAGGAATTGGAGAAGGGTACGTCATAGAGCTTTTTCCTCCCCCTAAACAACAACACAACAACACAAAAACAGAATCACAAGATTCGGCACTTCCTATACCTACAACAATTCCCAGACAACTTCCACAATCCCAATGATCCCCTGAAGCTGACTAGGTCTGAGTTGAGCGTGAACAGGTCTCAGTGTCGAGGGTGGTAACATTGTGAGTATGGCCTGACCGGGCAATTAGCTCCGCCATAGATAAGGATCGGATCGACTAACTGGCTGGCTTCGCCTCAGCCCATGAATGTCACTTGGGTCTTGGGATTCCCCGATGGTGATGAACAGGGAACTTTCCTCGCCTTGGATATGGGTGGTACCAACTTGCGTGTTTGTGAAATCACCCTGACCAAGGAGAAGGGTGGCTTCGACATCACTCAGTCCAAGTACCGTATGCCCGAGGAGCTCAGAACCGGCACGGCTGAGGAGCTGTGGGAGTACATCGCCGACTGTCTGCAGCAGTTCATTGAATCCCACCACGAGGGCGAGGAGCTCTCTAAGCTCCCCTTGGGTTTCACCTTCTCTTATCCCGCCACCCAGGATTACATCGACCACGGTGTCCTACAGCGTTGGACCAAGGGCTTTGATATCGATGGAGTGGAAGGCCACGACGTCGTTCCTCCTCTGGAGAAGATTCTCAAGGAGAAGGTGGGTCTCTTCCATGCGTATCTGGGGTTGAGGCGTGCTAATGTGATACTTTCGCGACCTACAGGGCCTGCCCATTAAGGTGGCTGCCTTGATCAACGATACTACCGGAACCCTCATCGCGTCCGCGTACACCGACCCTGCTATGAGGATTGGCTGCATTTTCGGCACTGGTGTTAACGCCGCATACATGGAGAATGCGGGCTCTATCCCCAAGCTGAGCCACATGAACCTGCCCGCCGATATGCCCGTTGCCATAAACTGCGAGTATGGCGCATTCGACAACGAGCACATCGTGCTCCCCCTCACCAAGTATGATCACATCATCGACCGGGACTCTCCCCGTCCCGGCCAACAGGCTTTCGAGAAGATGACCGCCGGTCTTTATCTGGGTGAGATCTTCCGTCTCGCCCTGGTTGACCTGCTGGAGACCCACCCGGGTCTCATCTTCAACGGCCAAAACACCTCGGAGCTGCGCAAGCCCTACCTCCTGGACTCGTCCTTCCTGGCCGCCATTGAGGAGGATCCCTATGAGAACCTCCAGGAGACGGAGGAGCTCCTGGAGCGCAAGCTCAAGATCAAGGCGACTCAGGCCGAGCTGGAGATGATCCGTCGCCTCGCGGAGCTTATCGGTACCCGTGCGGCTCGCCTGTCAGCCTGCGGTGTTGCTGCCATCTGCAAGAAGAAGAACATCGAGTCGTGCCACGTGGGTGCTGATGGCTCCGTGTTTACCAAGTACCCGCACTTCAAGGCCCGTGGTGCTCAGGCGCTGCGGGAAATCCTTGACTGGGCTCCCGAGGAGCAGGACAAGGTCTGCATCCAGGCTGCGGAGGATGGGTCTGGTGTAGGTGCCGCCCTCATTGCTGCCTTGACTCTTAAGCGTGTCAAGGCTGGCAATGTGGTGGGTATCCGCGATGCGAACGACATGAAGACTCTCCTATAAACATGTGACGCGGGGTAAAAGGTGATCTTTTTGGGAATTTCCAGCGTGGTGTTCGAAAGCGGCTGTTTTTAGGGCGGGGTGAAGGATGGATGACTCCAGCGACATAGAACAGAAGAGAGAGAGACAGTACAGTACATACATTGACGATGAATGGCCGACACTTGGTTAAGACAGGTTGGTTGGTATACAGAATCACGCAAGTAATTGGAATTTTCGATAGACGGTAACAGAATCCATCCATTGAATTTGATGATTGCCAATGTCCACCACGCCCATACTTGCTGAGTAGAAACATACCTGCCTGCCATGGTTTAAGTGTGTCGATCGAGACTTATCGAGGGGGAATGTTGGATGATCCCTTTGCTGGCGCGGACGCGGAAGTGGCTGAAGAGAGGGAGGGGAGCATTCCGAACACGCGGTGGAATGTGGTGCGGAGTACGGAGTACGGAGTACAACCTACTGTACCAACAACAACCCATGAGCTTGTTTTCTGCCCCTTATTCCTCCGATCACTCAAGAATCCTCCTGCCTCTCTGCCTCTCCTGCCAGCTGATACTCAAGGTAAAGGTCATAGGTGGTGGTTAGGAGCGAACATCCCTTGCCCTACTTACCTTTCTTCGGGCCTCCTGAGTAACCCTGTATGCCCTTCAAGGTGCCCATCTCCTCTCCTTTGCCACATGTGTAGGTTTGGTGTGAATCCAGTATCCCGTGTCAAGTGGAGATGAGAAAGATACCAATGGAAACCCTCCCACCCCTCGAATGTTCCTCAACCTGGCCTGGGCTGGCATGTAACAGACCCTCCCCGTGATACATAGCAAAGAAGCCCTAAATAAATACAAGCTTCCTGCTCCCACAGCCCCCTGTGCAACTTTCACGTTCCTTTGAATTTTTGTCCAATTTGCTACGTCTAAAACTAGTATAGTTCTTTTGTTTGTGTTCTTGATTTTCATTTCTCCCACTCACCATGAAATTCTCCCTCACCCTCCTCGCCACTGCGGCCCTGACAGCCACGGGGGCCCTTGCCTTCCCGCACGGCACCACCGAGATGGCCAACATGAACATGAGCGCGATGGAGGACAGTCCCGACAGCGCCACGCAGACTTCGCCGCAGGACTCCTCGTCGTCACCTTCCTCCAAGCCCAGCAGCAGCAGCAGCAGCAGCACTCCCAAGCCAAGTAAGACGGCCGGTACCCCGGATGTACGTTCCCTCCTCCTCCTCCTTCTCCTCCTCCTCATTCCATAATCGCAATCATCAAGCGTTTACTAACGAGACATTCAATATCCCGACAGGAAAACGACGAAGATTTTGTAAGGCGATTCCCTCACACCCTCTGCCCTTTCCTTTCCCTCGCCTCGTGAACCTGCAACCTGCCACAACTCCCTACACCCTCCTCCGCATCCGTATAAACTAGCGCTAACCATGATCCTTTTCTTGAATGGGAAAAACAGCTCACGGGTCTTTTGGGCAATGTAAGCCTCTATCCGCTCTTCCCTTCCCTTTTCTTGTCTTCTGTTCGCTGGTTTGGAAAGATCGAAGCGCTGACGTGATCACTCGGTGTGTTGGTTTCGATATAGCTCGGTCTGGGTGGTCTGGGGCTTGTAAGTTTTTCCGAACTCTCCCCGCTCCTTGGGTCCATTGTCGAGCCACACTGGAGTCAGCTGTTGGAGAAGATCATTGTACTGATTCTGGTCGTTCGTCTGCAGTTTTAGCTCGGCTAAGACTTGGGGCATTCGGGTTGAGAATGAGTTTAGGGTAATTGGATTGTGGGGAGATGGGCTCGAGAGAGATAGAGGAAAGAAGAGCATTAGCGGCAAGGGAAGGGGGCTGGTTTCATTATTTTTTTCCGTGGGAACTCTTCAGTATCTAATTCCAAACATTATGTCCGAATCTATGAAATTACGCCGAAGTGACTCTGGTGTGTTTCAGGGTGGCTTTGAGTAAGCCTAAAATGAAAACAAAAGAAAGAAAAGCTCGGCTGCTGCTTGAAAGGTGATACGAAAGGCAAGGTCAATGCATGGTGCAGGGTGTGCAATGCAATTACTTTTGTATGCCACATATCCAAATCATAAAACGCGTCTATATAATACTATGGAGTACATGCACGACCCCGCTCAGCCGCGAATTTCCCACAGACGGATCCGACCTTGCTCGTTACCCACAGCTAATTGCTCCGAGTTGGGCGAGATGGCCACGGCAGAGATACGGCCGAAGGGGGTGTTGGAGGTCGGCCAGTTGCGGTAGACCGTGCAACTGGGGAGGTGGACTGGATCAGATGTTAGCAGGTGGCATCATGTAGACATATGGAGAGCAAGCATACCGATTCTCAACGCATCGCGCTTCCAGCGACTCGCCATCACAAAGAACTGGCCATCCGGCGCAAAGACTAAGTGGCTGATAGGCGTGGTGAGCTGGTCCAGCACGCGCACGGGTTCGGGGTTCCGAGGAATGAAACTCTGGCTGGTCTCGTCCTCGTTTGAGGCAGCAGCAGTGGCATATGCGGCCGCCCATTCGCGACGGTCGTACACGTTGACAATGCCGCTGGAGCTACCGATGGCGACCCAGCGGTCACCGCCAAGTTGAGTGCGTCCGGACCGTCCGCCCAGGCTGAGTACCGTCGTGCCCACGGCGCCGGCGTCGATCCAGCGGGCCACAACCCGGTTCACGCGGCCATCCCATTCGGAGACCTCACCACTCTTGCTCACCACCGTCATACCCTCACCGTCGCTCCACCAGGCGAAATCCGACACACCTCCCCGACCGTCCACACGGACCTGCGCGATCCACTGCGCCGTGTTGGAGTCGAGGATGTTGATGAGACCACTGCCCTTGCGGGCCGAACCCACCAGGCCCACATACCGTCCGCACGGGGACAGCTTGAAGTGCTCCATCGTCTTCTGCTCTTCCTTCCGGTCCGCGGTGCCGTTGACCTTGTCCACCTTGCCGGTTTCCAGATCCCAGATGTGGAAGTATCTCCGACGCCCAGACGCGAAAATGCGGTTTCCGCTGGGCAGATGGAACGCAGAGGTGTGAAGGGGCGTGTGGCGAATGTGGAAGGACGTGAGAAGAGGGTTCGGCGCCAGGGCGGAGGGCGAAATGTGATGCAGGAAGAGAGTGGCCGCCTGTCCGGAGGAGAGCAGTAGAGGGTAATGCGGGTGGAAGGAGAGTGAATCAATGGCCGACTGTCGGTCTTTGGTTAGTTCCCTGCACTAAAGCACAAACGAACAGGATCACACTCACCGGCTGGTCCTTGCCGACATCCTTGAGTCTCGCGATGTCAATGACCTCCTGACGCATCTTTCTCTTGCCGCCAGGACCTGTGTTGTCCTCCAGCTTGACGAGATCTGTGGCACCCTGCAGCAATTTCGCGAGGGGTTGCGTGGACGAGCGCTCCTCATCATCCGTATCCATGTCATCGGCGTCGGAGTCGTCCTTCTGCTGGTTCCGCTCGGGGTTTGCCCAGTCGGGCACAGGGTTCAGCTGGACGAACTGTCTGCGCAACCGGCGAATGTATTCCTTGCCACTAATGACGTCTTCTGATTCCGCGACGCGCAGCTTGCGCAACCGCTGGTGGCTCGCCAGTGAGATTGTGAGACGCTCATCGTCGCTATCATGCCACAAGGCGGGCAAGCCATTGGCCTCCTCGTCGCTAGCCTCCTCATCGGACGCTGTCGCAGGCGCCTCGCCGATGTAGTCGGAAACAGGTCCGGGTCCGGAATCAAGGAAGAACAGCTGTGTCGAGTCAAGTCTGTCAGCCAATGTCTTTTCGCGGAGAAACAAGATAACCGTCGCATACATCGGAGTCAGCCAGTTTACTCAAATCTTGCTCCTCATCGTCATTCTCCGAGTCATCACCATCGCCCATCTCTTCATCGCTGTGATCAGCAAGCACCAGACCGCGCTCGTTCTGGGTTTTCAGTGCGCCGAGAAATCCATCGTCGTCGCCGAAGAGCATCTGTTCCAGCTTGAGTTCGGCCTCATCCTTCTCGGGAACATCCGAGTCATCGTCACTCCCTTCACTGCTGGTCATGTCGTCGTCTTCGTCATTCTGGGCGTGAATGGGCTTGCCCTCCTCGTAGACCAAGCGCGAAGAGGCATCTTCGGACTTTTGGCGGGTCTTTTCCTTGACGGTCGATTTAGGCATGGGAGGCTAGTCCACCTTCTGTTGGTAGGGAAAACCTAGCAAAGTACAAACTGTAGGATTGGGTTTGTGGGAGTATTTCTCGATAGGCGAAAGGTACGCGAAGAATGCAATCGACTAGAGACAAAATGTACATGAAGCTAGAATTGCAGATGCGACGCCTGCCGCCGAACAATAATTTTCTTTCGCTTGGGCCGGCAGTTGCGGGCGGTGAGCACTGCGGTAGAGCCTTCTTATAGCCTCGGGTTTCAGGCACCTATATTCGCTGGGCAAGAGATCACATCACCAGAATGAATAAATAATAGTTCAGCAGAACAGGATTGCACAAATCTCAAGATAACTCCATCATGGCAAATGGTTCATGTACACGTCCATTCATGCAGCCACAATCAAATAAATATGCATATAAGTAAGCGCCATGCCTTACGGACCTTAGATCAAAAATCGTTCAGAAGAATAAAATACCAAACGCCGCAAGCTAGCTGTGTGTAAGTGGAGAGTCATTATAGTGTACCCGTTGGTTGGCCACCCGGCTTGATCGACGGAGATGATCCTCCGAACCCATCACGATCACTGCCAGACCTGGCCGACACCGTCGCTGACGATGCTGAACTGCATTCGCCATGAGCCGCGGGATTATACTCCACCGAGTCAAATCGTACGAGATCTTCCTTCCCTGGTGTAGTGCTCTCCGAGTCAGCCCCCTTTCTACCTTTACCCACTGAGTCATCGTCTGAGAATGAGATATCATCATCCAGGCCGGCCAGCAGTCCACGACGGTGCTCGTCATCATGTTCGGCTACTCGGTCACCGCCAATCTCCTCTTCAGAGGTGCCCTGTGGCAGAGAGAGCGGTTTCTTGATAAAGGTATCGATGATGTAATACTGAATGGCGTTCATGATAACCGGAAAAAGAAGCATCACGAATATGATTTGGACAGCGGTATTACCCTCTGTCCACCGTAGAGCCCAATCGCCCACTTTGACGATAAAAGGTAGCAGTTGAATGATGAAGAAGACACATATCTTCATCCCGAGTAATCCAAGGAAGTATATCATCGACTGTTTGAACCACCAGGAAGCGCGGGGCGGGCGACCGTAATTTCCAGACTCAATAGACTCTGGCGGATTCGCAAGGGGAGTAAACATGGCGAGGCGATTCAAGATGTGTAAGATGAAGATCAAGATGGGGATACCTAGAGTCGTCTGCAATCGCCGAGGTATTAGTTGGCTATCTCAGTTTAGCGCTGCCTAGGATCAGAATCTGCCACTCACGTCTATCCCCAAGTTCAGAAGATAGAAAGAACATGGGTTGGGCTTGTATTTGCTTTGAATCTCGAACTGGCCGGCCGAGAACATGGACATGAGAAGGTTTGCCAGATGCAACATGGCCGAGCCGAAGACTTGCTTGGAAACATCGAATGCCCAGACCTTCACAGGTCGTTGGGGTCTCTCCCTCCAACGCTTGTAGACTAGCGACAAGAGCGCCAGAGCCCCGAGGGCGGCCTGCACCAGTAGCGAAAAAGGGCCAAGGAGCCTACACTCTCCCTTGTCCTCGTCACCCCCTCCGGACTCCGAGGCGGCTGGGTAAGAGGCGGACTGTTGTATGGTAGCAGACGGGGAGGGTGTAGGAGAAGCGCTTGGGGCTGAAAGATCTCCGATCGAGGATGCCCCAACACCGCTACCGAGTACTGCGATTACCGTTGCTGCGGCGAAGATGACAGTGGGCGATATACGGGCCATGGCGCCCGTCACGATCCTTCCTACCTGTCAACAAGGATTGCAAATAGCAGCGATAGAAGAGGTGGGAAGGGATTTGAGAAGGCTCGGAAGATGATCTTGGGAGCGGTGGTGGCGATAGAAGTAGAGAATCGAGCAGTTTCACTAGTGATGCAAGATGGCGGCGGGTTGCCTATCTTGCGAGGGCCGGGCGTGTCACGGGCATAAGGGGGAAAAGCACTTTCTCGTGGGGGCTGATTTCGAAGCAGTAAAGAGGATATATTGATTTAAAAATCGAATAATGATCGTCTAATAGGCTAGCGAAGATAAGACCCACATCGAATAGGCTGTTCAACAATCTTCCGGTTTTGCTGTATTCTTCTTCGTTTTCTTGCTTGTCTACTTTTGATTCATGCGGAGGTTGATGTTGGTGGGGGAAGAGTTCAAACGTCCGGGTGTTCGAGAGTGACACCGCTTCGAGGGCGGTCGGTGGAAGTGGTGGTGCGCGTGTGACGTGATGGACTCAGTAGTAAGTTAGTAGTGAGTACGGAGTAGTAAACCCTTGCTTCTATTTGGGACTAGTCAATGAACCCTTTTCCCAGTCCTCCAGTCTGCCCCGCCCGCCCGCCCGGGAATTGGAAGCAAAACAGGACTGACTAATCCCCAGCTACATCATGTGATTGGTTGTTTGTATTCAAAACAAGACCAACCATTCCAAGTTGTCCTGAAGAACAAGCGCAGATCGATACTACCGGTAGGTAGCAGCGGGCAGCGGGCAGCGGGCAGCGGGCAGCTAGTAGGCCATCTAAATTCTGACCAGAGCGTAGGGTACACTTCAAGTCGCTAACTTACTCAAAGTAAGTATGAGTAGGATATATGATGCAGATCATTAGGTACTTTCTTTGGTCTCTGATCAGCTACATACGTATACCTGCAGGAGCTTGGATTGCTGTGAGGTCTACCGGTTGGCAGTAACGCGGCGAAGTTTATATTATAATACACGTATCTATAATGAAGTCTCGTTGGAGTTGTGCGACAGCAATAGATCAAAACTTCATCTGTGGCGCTCGTTCCAGCTCATTATCATGGTGAGGACTCTCATGAAAAGGTTTCAAGATGGCCTGAAATGATCGTCTTGTTCAAGAACTAGGAAAAGGATAAAAGGCATCAAGAAGTATGTGGGGGTAGATGCAAATATGTAAGCAAGAAGTAATTAATTCTCATTTGACCAAGCAGCAAGTCAGTCAGTCAGTCGGGTCCAACCACCGCTCACAGCAAGCCAATAACGGCAACAAAAGCGGCAGCAAAGGCACCACCCAGAGTCATGGCTGGGTGGCCCCCTGCGCCATTAGGAGTACTGGAGGCACTCGATCCCGAGGAGGTCTTGGAAGAAGATGATGTCTCGGTCGCAGCACTGCCAGTGGCAGTAGTGGTAGAATCGCTCTGGTTCTCTGCGCTAGATGAGCCAGAAGAGGTCCCAGTTGCCTTAGCAGCAGAGGAAGACAACTTGTCAGCGCCCGCAGTGACCGTTACGGGCGAGTACTTCATCAGGCGAGCAGGCAGAGAGGCTTCCATGGCAGTTGAGTAAGAAGTGGTTTCGCCGCTGTAGGCGACAGTGTAATCCATGGAAATGGAGCAGGAGGCACCCTGAGTCACAGAGGTGATATCGCAGTCTTCAACGAGGGTAACCGTATATTCTGCATCGTCGGTAGTGGAAGTTATGACAGCGCTCACAGTGAACGTGGAAGGGCCCTCAGTTATGGTAACTGGGCTGTGCAGGGCACAATTCGATGCAGCGGCCGAAGGGCCGCAGACGATAGCAACAGTGGTGGTATCCCCAGTGACACCGATGATGCTCGCTTCCACATCACTGTAGGGAACTGTCTCCTCACCAGGCTGGAAGAGGTTGATGGTAGTAGTACTGGCGGCAGCAGACAGGGTTGCCAGGCCAAGGGTGGCAACAGTGGTCAAAAAAGTCGTGGTGGGCATTTTGGCGGTAGATAGAGAATGAATGGATGGACTTTGGGCAGCTTCCTCTTTCCTGGACAAAAATTATTAAGCTATAGAGAGAAGGAAAATAAGAAAAGAGCGGACAAAAATTTACTGCACAAGGAGGAGAAGAAAAGAGAAGTGGAAAGGGTCCAGGGACGGAAAGGCCAGGCATTATAGGTATTATAGTAGGTACTCATACTCATAAGAATTGTCGAGTCTGTCCGGTGGTATGGTTTAGTCCAGCCTCCACCGGGAGAATCCTTCAGGATCTGAACGCCCAATCGATTGATGAAAGAGTCAGGTACCGCTCGCTCAGTGCTCCATAGCAAATGATAGGCAAAGGCAAACATGCACTTCTGCGGCTCAGTCTAACTCGCGCGGACCCTTTCCTTCGTGTTGACCCAGGATAGACTTGTTCAAGGTCCACTTTAACGACTCTCCCCAGCCAAGTGTAATTGGAGTGGCGTCGCCTGCAGTCCCATTTGCCTGTTTCATCAAGACTTCCCAGTCGTGCCGTGAAACAGTGGGTTGATTCATTCAGTGAGAGAGCATCGAAGCGTGCATTCCGGAATGACGGTGTTGATTCCTGCTAGACACAGCTCATGCCACTCCTTTCACCCCCTTTTTCAATGCTGGCAGCTCGTATTATATCCGAGTGGGAATTAGCCTTAGGTGGCTTGCAGGAAGGTTTGGTTCATTTACAGACGGGAAGTATAGGGATGTAATTCAACGGGCCATTTGAGTTGAGTTCTTTTTTCAGACTAGACTAATATATCCTAATAGGACTAACTTATGGAACATGGATGCAGTCCAGAGCATGCGGGCGCCTCGCCAATTCAGTATCGCCACCACCTTCCGGCCGGCGCTGCGCTAAAAGCGTGTCTGGGAGAAACATAGCCAATGAAGATCATCGATTGGAACTAGCTGAACTCCATTTCGTCTTCTTCAGTGCTCCTCAAATCCCACAAACCTTGTGGTGATCTGGGGTTTGGCTGCCAAGCGAAGTCTCGAGTAGTGAGTAAATTTAGGGCAATGGTTCAGGTTATGTCAGCAGACTGTTATCCTGGAGCCACGTGAGATAACCGTCAGCGTTATCTCCTTGACCGCCCGGGACTGCAGTGACTGTACCATCGGGCGCATCTCACCGCCCGGCGGAGAAATGCGACGGGAAGGGAAAGAAAAAAAAAGTGCAGGCCGCTTTCCCCTCCGACTTTCTCCTCCTCGCCATATCATTCAGTCTATTTTCTATTCAATTGGGACGAGCAGTTGAAAGAACAGTCATCATGGCCGACCAGGAGATCCCCCATGCTACCTTCGACACCATCCTCACCCTGGACTTTGGTTCTCAATACGTTAGTCTCTTTCCCGCTTCCTCTCCTCTTGAAGTGTCGGTCGAATAGTTCAATGTACCCCGCCTATCGCAATCTGAGTCACTGACACCTTTTCTATCACCCAGACTCACCTCCTGACTCGGAGACTGAGAGAGATCAATGTCTACAGTGAAATGCTTCCTTGCACTCAGAAGCTAGCCGATCTCCCTTTCAAGCCCAAGGGTATCATTCTCTCCGGTGGTCCCTACAGTGTCTATGAGGAGGGTGGTAAGTAAATCAAGAAAGCTCGATTCTCCCTGCCGGATTGACTCATTCCACCCCGTCATCCCCTACAGCCCCCCACGTCGATCCCGCCTTCTTCGACCTTGGAGTTCCGATTCTCGGTATCTGCTACGGTCTGCAAGAAATTGCCTACCGATTGGACAAGAGCAACGTCATCGCTGGCACCGAGCGCGAGTATGGTCATGCCGACCTGAACGCTAAGCGCCTCGACTCCCAGGGTCACGTCGACAAGCTGTTCGCCGGTATTGAGGATGACATGCTGGTCTGGATGAGCCACGGTGATAAGCTCGCCAAGCTGCCCGAGGGCTTCCACACCATTGCCACCTCCGCCAACTCCCCGTACGCTGGTATTGCCCACGAGTCCAAGCCCATTTACGGTGTCCAGTTCCACCCCGAGGTCACCCACACCCCTAAAGGTACGCCGAAATATTATTGGGTCGTGTCACGCATTGCGCCTGCTAGGTATTGACTGGCCTAGGCACAACTCTCCTCAAGAACTTTGCCGTCGACATTTGCGGCGCTCAACAGAACTGGACCATGTCCCGCTTCGTCGACCAGGAAATCTCCCGCATCCGCAACTTGGTCGGTGAGACCGATCATGTGCTGGGTGCTGTGAGTGGCGGTGTTGATTCCACCGTGTAAGTGCTGGACCCAAGTTTCTTGCTAGCCTGCGAGTGCTAACACCCGTCACTAGGGCTGCGAAGCTGATGAAGGAGGCTATTGGCGACCGTTTCCACGCCGTTCTTGTCAACAACGGATGCATGCGTCTGAACGAATGCGATATTGTCTCCGAGACCCTGAACAAGCACCTGGGCATCAATTTGACGGTTGTTGACGCTTCCAAGCGTTTCTTGGACGGACTCAAGGGTGTCACCGACCCCGAGAAGAAGCGCAAGTTCATTGGTGGCACGTTCATTGACGTCTTCGAGGAGGAGGCCCAGAAGATTGAGGCCGAGGCCGAGCATGCTGGTGCCAAGATCAAGTGGTTCTTGCAGGGTACCCTGTACCCTGATGTCATCGAGAGTATCTCGTTCAAGGGCCCTTCTGCCACCATCAAGACCCACCACAATGTTGGCGGTTTGCCCCGTACGTTATCTTGCTTGGCTTTCCTCCTATCCGAGAAGGTCGCAACGCTGACTATATGCAGAACGCATGATTGATGGCCAGGGCATGAAGCTTATCGAGCCTCTTCGCGAGCTCTTCAAGGACGAAGTGCGCGCCCTGGGCCGCCAGCTGGGTATCGCCCACGAGCTGGTCATGCGCCACCCCTTCCCCGGACCCGGTATTGCCATCCGTGTCCTGGGTGAGGTAACCCCCGAGCGCGTTGAGATTGCCCGCCGTGCCGACCACATTTTCATCTCCATGATCCGCGAGGCTGGTCTGTATGACAAGATCGCTCAGGCCTATGCCGCTTTGGATCCCAGCAAGGCTGTTGGTGTCATGGTAAGGATTGGTTTCCCCGGCCCAATTGCTAGGGTATCTGATATTAATACTGATATCAACTTTAACAGGGCGACAAGCGTGTCTATGCCGAGATTATCATCCTGCGTGCTGTCGAGACTACTGACTGTAAGTAGCTCTGTTTGTTTGAGATACAACTCACCTCGACTAACTGTCTGCCAGTCATGACTGCCCGTGCCTTCCCCTTCGACAACGAGTTCCTGGCCCGCTGCTCGACCCGCATCATCAACGAGGTCCACGGTGGTAAGTCTTGAGTTCGGACCTTACTCCACAAGAGAGATTACTGATTGTGATTTGTAGTCTCCCGTGTTTTGTACGACATTTCTAGCAAGCCCCCTGCCACCATTGAGATGGAGTAAATAGCGAGTGTATTACGAGATTTTCCACATACTACCCTTTATATTAGAGGTACGGAGTTAATGGTATAAAAAAGCGTTCAATTTAATCAAGTGTCCATTATCCTATTGTCCCTTCGACAGTATGTACAGTCCATTACAGTACATCGTCCTGCAGTTTTTACTGTTGACTGTGACTGTAATGCTGTGTAAGCAGCTTGCCAGTTGGTGATGGTCCTCACCGCCCGCCCGCTTCCCCCGCATCGCATCGGCTTCTTATCGCCGCTTTCCCGCTTCGTAATCTTTCGGTCTCTTTCCTTGAGATCCCAACAACAGCACATTGTCCCTTCCAGGCCCCCTTTGTTTCCTCCGCACTCTTTCTCTCGTGCCAGCAGACCGACCATGCGACCGGATGGCCCTCGTGACTCTGTAACCGGGCCTGATGGAGGCCCGGAGTCTCCCTATCCCATCCGCCTGGCCGGCCCGGTGATCAAGGGCTTTGGGCGGGGCAGCAAAGAGGTGACTGACTGAGTGTCCGCCGGCAACAACGTGCAGTGTGAGGCTGACCATGCGTTCATCTTGCAGTTGGGTATTCCCACCGCCAACATTCCGGCCGAGGGCCTTGCTGCATATCCGGACCTGCAGGTGGGCGTCTACTACGGAGTGGTGGCCTTGGATCCGACCCGATTCGCCTTCGACGATGCCTCGTCGCCGATCCGACCGGCCGTGTTGAGCATTGGGTACAACCCTTTTTATAAGAACCAGACACGGTCGATCGTAAGGCATCCCTTCCTTTCGGGCTCGATTGTTCAGTAATTGACCTCCCGGCGATGCTAGGAAATTCACATCATGCCATCTCTCTCAGCGCCGTCACCCACCGCGGACGGCGGTCCCACGAAATTCCACAAGCTCCCGGATTTTTATGGCACAGACCTGCGCCTCTTGATCTTGGGGTACATCCGACCAGAGTACGATTATGTATCGCTTGAGGCATTGGTGGAGGATATTCGCCTGGACTGTGAGGTGGCGCGCCGGAGTCTGCAGCGGCCAGCATATGCGTGTTATCTGGCCGGGGAAGAATGCGCGGAGGACGTAAGGGAGGCGCGCCAGTGGCTGACCCGGTTCGAATCACAATAACGGACATGCGTCATAATTCCTGGTCTGAGCCGAAGGGTTGAGGTGCGTTTGTACACACATGTGCTAATTCACATTGACCATGTGCCTTTAGATTTAGAGAGGGAGAGACACCTGGAACGGAACGGCTATTGATCGCCGTCCCACTGATCGACGATGAGCGATCTATAGATATCCACACAACATGCAGATACACCTACGTATACAATTGCAATTTACACCATACATTCTAGTAGACATTCTATTCTGCTGGCCAGTCTGATTAATCACTCTCTGTGTTTTTCCTCCAAGAGGTCAAGGGAAACTCCGGCTGGTTCCACGTCGACCCAAGAAACTGGGCAACACTCGTCGACGTCAGCCCAGCATGCCACACGCCTGCCTGGTCTTGAGGCAGTCGGATTTCTTTTATCTATATCTGAACCGCTTTCCTTCAGTGCCGCTCTTGATTCTCTGACACAATTCTACATAATTCTTTGTCGTCTGATTCCCACTCTCACTCCACCCTAATCAATATTGCTCTCCCCCATGGAACGCCTTCGCCAGCATCTTCGACGACGTCGAAGTAGTTCTTCTGGCACAACCCCTCTCCAATCACCCCCCGGTGTTGACCGACATCGCAAAGTTACAGACACTGGTGCGCCCCGGCGGCTGTATCTGACCTCCGATGCCCTCGAATTCGACGCCGGCATCCTAGCCCGGCTCCGTGCAGAGGGTTTCGATGTTGAATATTTGCCCTTCCCTGGGAGACATCACACAGACCGCGAGCGAGATCGAAAAGACCTCGAGTGTCTCCTGCATGAACGGGAGGATGACCTGGAGCCTGGGGAACGATATGCTGTGGTCGGTCAGACACCCTCTTTTCTTTTTTTGACTAGGTATCCTAGGGATCCGTTGGGTGGGTGTCCGTGTATTGTACAACTGTAGCTAACGGATCCCTCATTAGCCTACAACAAACCAGCCTCACTGCTTCTCGAGTCGCACCATCAACCGGCAACATCCACCAACCCCTTCCCCCGACTTTGCGCTCTGGTAGCCTACTACCCCCATGACTTCGACAACTGCCTTGACCATCTCTCCATCAACGCAAACGGCAGTCCCATCAGCAAAGTCCCTACCGCTTCTGCAAATGCCAACACGACGACCTCTTCCTCCACTGCGCCAACGACCTACCCTCCATCGGTAACCCTTCTTCCCATCCAGATTCATCTCGCCGGAGACCGCTGCTCAGCCGACCCCGAACCATCCGCACCCACCCATACCCGCAAGCGTCACCGCTGCCACTCCTTCTTCTACCCGGAGTCCCGCGCCGGGTTTGCGGAGCCCTCCTCGCCGAACTACGACGGCATCGCCGCGCGATTAGCCTGGTCGCGAGCTCTCGAGACCCTGAAACGCGGATTCGGCTGGCCCGGGCACGGCGGCGGATGGAAGGTCCCGGACGTGGAGAGCGTCTGGGAAGAATACTGGCGATGTCTGGCGGCGACGTCGGAGTCTGGCACCGGGGCCGACGAGCAACCAAACTCGTCTCCTGCGGTGACAGGTGAGCGAGATTGCCTGGCGGCCCAGATCGTCGGGTTGATGGTAGGCAGCAGTAGTGGAGTGCAGTTGAACGCATCGGGCCCCAGTGATGACGACCATACCTCCCTGGGAACTCCACTGGTGAATTGTGTGCCGACTATGATGGGAGGTGAGTCAAAACAATATCTCACATAAGCCCCCAGCTTTCCCCCTCCCTGTTTCCTATGGAGACAATAGCAACAAGAAGAAGGCAGTATATCTATAACTGTTGTATCTGACATGATTTAGGCACCACCCCCAAATCCCTGACCCATTTTTTCACTACCCAATTCCTGCCGACGGGACCGCCTGATCAACGGATTCGCCTCCTCTCGCGCACTACCGGCGCGGATCGCATCGTCGATGAGCTGCACTTTTCATTCACCCACAGCGAAGAAATTCCGTGGTTGTTACCCTCAGTCCCGCCGACGGGTCGGCCCGTGCGCATTGCCCTCGTCATGACGGCGAGTTTCTGCGCGGGGAAGGTCGCCCGTCTCAATGTTTATTGGGATCAGGCGAGCGTCTTGGTGCAGATTGGCTTGTTGGATCCGGCGGTCGTGCCGGCGGGGTTCACCCCCACGGGGCTGAATCGCGCAGGCACGAAAATCGTCGAGCGGCTGCCGGTGGTTGGCGCAGAAGGGGTGGAGAGGATTACTGTCTGAACTGGTATTGAGCTGGATGGTTTTTGCTGTTATATATGCCTCTCTGGGACGGCATAGCGTAGGATTTGATTATCTTCTGGCTGTAGAATTTACTTATGATAGACAATCGTGTGATGAGCATGATGGCTGTGATTTGTTCCAGTAGCAAGATCAACTATGCATATATGAGGTCAAAATGGGACTTGGTCTCAATGAAAGTCTCGAGATCATGGAAAATTGAGCTTGCGGATTTCCGGACTCACGCCTCCAGGGGACTGAAGCGTCAGAATACTGGCTTCCTGCGCCAAAGACAGCACCTCTTCTACCACATGGCCGCGAGCCAAACCCGTTACTACCGCCCCCAACAGAGTATCCCCAGCCCCATTGACACTGACAATGTCTTTTTCCGCAAGTACCGCTGCTGGGGGAAACAAGCGCATGTATACCCCTCCGATCACTGCATGGTCGGTGGGCGCTCGGGACAGGATATATGGGGCAGTGTCCGGACTGGTCAGACGCGCGTCTCCCGGACGGAGAAGCTGTGTAAGAAGGAGGCCTTGCCTACCCAGCTTGGTGATGATACACGGCATAAAGGGAAGAAGCTGGATGCTTTGCTGCGGGATGCCTTGGTCCACAAGCTCGGCCGAGGTCATAGCTACCAATCGGTCCCGCGACCCAGACGCAGACATCCCCATGGCGTCAATAACATGCCACCAGCCTTCAGACTCGAAAAGACCACTATCCCGCGCAGCGGCGTACATCTCTGTCAGCTCCATCTGGTTAGGTGCCGCGAGACTGACGGTATTATTGGGAACACAATCCGAGGGCATAACGGCGGCGGAGCGCCGGCCGAACAACCGGCGGCTCTTGGCGGTCGAGACGGGTTCGAAGGCTGTTCGAGCCCCGTGCTTCTTTGCAACTGTCATCCACTTCGCAAGCACTTCCGGGCTCCAATTGGCGTCCACAACCACCCACTGTGGTTGAGTTTGCGATATTAATGGCTCCCAGAATCCGTCGAAATCTAGGCTTTGCGCGGGCAATTCCATAATGGCCATATCAGCCATAGCGACAACGAGATCCTTCTTTGCATCGTTGATGGCCACATACTGCGCAGTACGCGCTCCCGATGATTCAGGAAGAACACGGATGCCGGCTGTGGACAAATTCTCATCGCGGAGGGAAGCCAGTGCGGCGCGGCCACTCAGATCGTCTCCGACTGTACTGCAGAAGAGAACAGAGCTGTTGAGGTATTTCGCCGCGACAGCCACATTGTGGCCAACACCTCCAAGGCTTTGTCCGATGACTGCGCGATTCGATGTCTCCAAGACGGGAGAAGTTGTTCTTTCAGTAGGACTGAAATCACAGGACAAATCAATTGCCAGCGAGCCTGCCACAATAATGTCCGCCTTGGCAACACACTTTGTCAACTGTTCAGTGGTCGAATTGAGGTCCAGCTCTGCTTCTGCAGTTGCTCGGTCAGCCCCAGTGGTCTCGGAGATAGTTGGCATGTGTCTGCGCCGACCATCTCGACATTAGGGTGTCTCTATCCTTATAAAAAAAACATGGGTACTCACAGTTCGTTAAATGGCCCGCTAGATCGCTCAAGTTTCGAGAGTTCCAGAGCTACCTTGGCTGCACGCTCCACATTGGCCTCGACAAGGGCTCGGTTGGCTATTACACTCTTCCCACCACTGAGGTCCTTGATCTTTGCCAGCACGAATGGCGTATTGTCACTTCCTTGATGCCCCTCGACTTCTGCAAGACGAATGGCCTCATCGATGATGCCATCCATCTCACTCCTTGCGATGGAATGCTCGAGGGAAACAGGGTTGGCAAGGAGAATACCGGATGAGATGGGGATTTGTGTTTGTGCGTCTGTGATGTAGTTAGCGGCCTCATCGTACAGTGTTGGCAAACGCTGATTGCCGAGAATGCAGAGATACCGCCGAGAGTAAACAACAATCCCGGTGATGTACCACTCACAGATAATTGCGGCCGCTTCAGCCTCATCATGGAAGACCTTCGGACTCCTAAGGCCACTGTCGCGAGTATAGAAGGCGGGAAAATCCACGGCCCCTTGACGGCCATCTGCAAAGGTCCCCACGCAGACTCCCTCTGTCTCGAGATATTCCAGGGTACGCGGGATATCCAGGAAGCTCTTACACCCAGAGCTGACAACTGCCACTGGCGTTCGTCCCAGCTCGGTGAGATCAGCTATATCAACATTAGCGGGGAAGAGAATTGCAAAGATGATTCTACGCACCAGAGATGTCCATCGAGTTTTCTCCACCGCGATGTACGCCTCCTATGACAAGTCAGCATGTTTTATAACTGCCTTAGCTTGGAAGTGCCGACCTAAGCCTCCCGTTCCAAAGACCTTGATTCCAGCCAGATGAGCCAGCACCATCGTGCCGGACACTGTTGTACCCCCGTGTAGTCTTTTGCCAGCTAGTCCCTGATAAAAAGTTAGATCAGCAATTTCAAGCCAGCTACGGATTTTTTGCCTTACTAGACCACAAATGTACCCCAGATCCCTCCGGGATACTTTCAAGGCGTTCTTCTTCTCCGCAGTAGATGCTAACTCGATGAGCTCTTCTGCGTTGAGGCCAACCCGGGCTTCGCCATGGAGAACTCCGATGGTAGCAGGCACGCCGCCATTGGCACGTACTACAGATTCCAACAGCGTTGCCAATGCGACACTTTCCGGATAGGGGAATCCTGCTCTTGTCAGCAATGCCTCGGCCGATCTACTGTGCGACACCTGATGAGAGCTGTACCGTGCGTATAGATAGTTGATTCAAGGGCCACCACAGGTCTCCCTGTGGCCACGGCATCGCGAACCTCCTCCGATACTTTGAAGAATTTACTATTGGCAAGGCCATGGTACCGTCGAGGTAGGTCTGCGGTTCTCACTGTCCGCCCGCATGTGCGAGCGGCCACTCGAAAGGCGAGCATTTGACGGCCGGTGCGTTGCACAAGACTTGGTAGACTCTATATCGAATGAAAGATCTCTGAGACAGTTGTGAAAGCTCATATGAGCACCTCAGGGACTGGAGGAGCGCGGTGGCGAGGCACGGAAAAGGAAAGAAACGAGGGAGGACAAGCGATGCAGGCAAGTAGATAATATGGTTCTTCTGTTTTGGTGATAAGAAGGCGGAGAAGGAGGTTACGAGTTAGCGGGTGGAGAAGTCCGGCCGGAACTCGTAATCGCCCCGAATCGGGACACCTCAGCATCTCCGCGTCTCTTTCCCGCTCGCCAATTCCTCTGAACTCGCCTCTCTTTCTCCATTTCTGATTATATTGTCTTAAACTTCTCCTGGTGAGAGACATTGTGTTTTAGGCGCGGTCTGCTTCACGGCCGCCCATCATCACAATGAGGCCCATTTCCGCCCTCACCGCGCTGTGCGGGTTGTTTCTATCAACCAGCAGCTTCGTATGCGCCGATTCCACATCGTCAAGCTCGCCAGTCGCTCTTCCCAGCGATTTCAAGCCCGCTCAAGTATTCAAGAATACCAACTTGGTCCGGAACACCAATCTGGAGAAGAGCTACCTCCGTGAGACTATCAATGTCGTGGTCGAGAATGTGGCCAAGCAAGCTCAGAGTGACTATTACTTGGCTTTGCCATCCGACCTCTACGATAAGGTCGGAGTCCTCGAAGTCCGCGATAAATCAGCTCCGGAGAAGGGCAGGCTCAATGTGCAAGCTACTGAAATCGACCCAAGCAGGTGAGTTGGCCATTCTAGTCGCCAATGGCTCGTTGGCTGTTGGTGATGCCAGTGACGATGCCACGGTTGCTTGATCCGCAAACAATCCTCCATACTCACTGGGCGAACTAAGACTGATGTATGCTATACTCGACGTACAGGGATCTCCAATACTATATCGTTCACTTCTCTGAACCCCTGGCGCCCTCCTCTCAGATCACTTTGGGAATCTCTTACTCTGTCCTCAACTCTTTCAGCCCGCGCCCGGCCGCTATCAAACAGATGGACCGACAGTACCTCACTTATTCGTTCTCTGCCTATGCTCCCTCGGCATACACGATAGTGACGCAGAAGACCAAGCTCAAGCTTCCCAGCACTAATGTCCCGGAATATACGACCACGGACTTGAAGTCGGGTGCGGACCCGGAGCGTCTGGGTACCAGCTACACGTACGGACCCTATGACACGGCTCAGGTTGCGCCCGGTACTAGCTACCCGATCGTCGTTCGCTATGAGTTCACCAAGCCGGTCATCACGGCTTCGCTGCTGGAGCGCGACCTGGAGGTTTCTCACTGGGGCGGCAACCTGGCCACGGAGGAGCGCTACTGGCTGCGCAACAATGGCTCTGAACTCTTAGACCACTTCTCCCGCGTGGAGTGGACCCTCAGCAGCTATCAGCAACTCCCCTCTTCCTCCATCCGCGAGCTGAAGTACCCCCTGAAGCCCGGCTCCGTGGACCCTTATTTTATTGATGATATCGGCAATGTTTCTACAAGCCGCTACCGTCCCGGGAAGGTTCCCAGCCGGGACGCATCATTGGAGCTTCGCCCCCGGTTCCCCATTTTTGGTGGCTGGAACTATAGTTTCCGCGTCGGCTGGAACAACGATCTCTCCACGTTCCTTCGTCGGGCCGTCGGCAGCTCTGACTCTTACGTGCTCAAGGTTCCCTTCATCGAAGGACCCAAGGCCTCGGAGGGCGTCCAGTATGAGAAGGTCGTTGTGCGAGTGATCCTTCCCGAAGGCGCCCGGAACGTTCGCTGGGAGATGCTGGACAAGGCTTCCAGCAATGGACTTCCTAGCTCCAGCCAGATCCAGGCCGAAGTGTCTGAGCACAAGACGTTCATGGACACTCTGGGACGGACGGCATTGAGCCTTACCGTCGATGGACTGACGGATGAAGCTCGTGACTCTCAGATTGTGGTAAGTTCCTTGACAGTCATATAAACCTGACTCGAGTTGACAATTGGACTAGGTAACCTACGATTATTCCTTGTGGGATGGACTGCGCAAGCCGGTGACTATCACTGCTGGCCTCTTCACAGTATTTGTAGCTGCGTGGGCTGTGGGCAACCTTGACGTGAGCATCAAGAAGCGGTAGTCGTGAAGGATGTATGATATGATCCAGTTCTTTGTACCAGACCAGAATTGAAAATAGGTGTTCGCTGGTGTTCGCGTGTCTGTAGAGTGTCTACATGCTATCCGTAAGAGCTCATGGTCAGTTGGTATTCTCCCCCAGTCACACATACATATGTTACCTTTCTTTTGCGTACTATTGGCATATCTTGAGGCTTGTTCGCGCTAGCTGGTCGGCATCATCTAACCAGATTCCATGGCTTGATCTGCGCACCTGAGCACGAACGAAACCTCTGCGAAATCCGGGATCCATCCAAAGGGTTCAAAAGACGCGTGGTGCATGGATGAGGAATTAGTGGCTTTCAGGCACGAATGCAGAGCGTTGGGTCGAGCGCGTATCCAATAATGAGATCTCGTCGGAAGCATCACGCCTTGCAGCTCAGTGATTGCTTGCTGCATTGAGCAGGTCTGCTGTCCGTGAGATATTTACTAGTAGGTGCAGTGGATCTATTATTCAACATGTTTCTGTCGTTCTTCTCGTGACTCTGTCCACTCAGCCAAACTCGGTCGAAACCATTTCCCCGATACTGAGTATGCATTTTCCCTGTAGCTGCGGCCCTCTAGGAGCGCAGCTCCAATTTTGCGAATCCAAGTACTCCGTATTGCTGGAAACTAGTGGTTGCTGGGCCTCTTGGGATTTGTCCCTCGTGCTGGTGTGCAGCTGACCGATTTGATAAATTGAGCGACGGCTATGCAAGGCTGTCCGAGTGAGCTATTCAACGATATTCAACAATAACTTAACTTGCACTTGCCGTATGCTATGGAATAGAGGATATGATTTGTTTCTCCATCCCTCTTTCGTTTTCCCTTTTCTCTTTTTCAGATCTGCGTCATCATGGAGTCCGTTGGGGTAGGAAAACGTTTCCCGCATGGATCCAGTGGGCTAGACTCCAAGGTACGTAACTTAGTAGATCACTTGAGTTTCATGGATCTTTCCCAGCCATTTCTCCCCCCCTCCTCAGCCGGTCCGTGTGTCTCTCCATTTAGGGCAAAGTTGTTTGCAGGCGGAAGGACGATGATCACCCTAGCAAAAACTCAGAAGGGGAGTCAGTCCCGCGGAAGGAAAGAGGGAGGGAAAAAATTAATGAGACTGGGACCGAAGGGAGGAGAAGCCGCCGAGCCGGAAGGGATCATGGATGAAGGATCCTGGGGAAAAGGAAAAGTCGGGGAGCATCTCTTGAATCTTGAATTTTGATGTGGTAATCGCCGGCAACTGAGTTGAGCCATTTGGTAATTTTAATAATGAGAATTCATGGGAACTTCCCCAACTGAGAGGGAGTTTCTCATTCTTCCCCCGCAAAATTGCACCTGGCATTGCTCCAAATCCTCATTCCTCCTCTGGAAAAACTGGAGAGAGCCGGGATCGGGGAATCGATCCAGGAACCGATTCCGAGTCGACTTGGCTGCTTCCCCCGCAATTGAAACTGCACATGACTTCGTCATGAACTTGTTAGTGACTAATGGTTGAAAATGGTTGAAATCAGTTGGGGGTCCGGAACCATTCCATAGAAAGGTACAGTACTATCACCAAGCCAGCAGGCCAAATATGCAGCAATCTTTGGTGGTGATTGTGTATATCAAGGATAACTTGGTATGTACTGTACTGTACTTGCAAACCTCAGGACTGTTAATATTCCTATAGATCGTCCTTGAGCCTGACTTACTGCTACATACTGAGTAGTACGGAGTAGAATGAGTATATACAATACACACTACATGCAGATGGCACCCCGGTCTACTATTCCTCATCTAACTCCATAATCACGATCACAATCATAGATATCGCCGAGACGAGGATGAGTTGACGGGCGAAACGCCGAGACTGGCGATGCGGCATTTTCGATGATTCATATTACGCACCGGAAACCGGGCGGTCACAAACCATGACACATCCCAACCCGGTCCGGTCAGCTGATATCCCCAGCGAACTACTGCCTGGAATGTTGCCGGTCTGGTCTATTTTTCTTTGATTGTCTGGATGGTGTCTGACAAGCTGTTCCGTACTGTATCTATAGTTAGAGCATCTGAAATCTCAGTCACGCTACTCCGTGTCTCCCCCGGGTTCCTGGGCATGATTCTTCATGTCTCTCGCCGCAACTCATTCTTCTCTCCCAAAATAGACCTTTCAGCCTATATCTATCTATCTATCTACCTACTGTATGAGTTCAAACCACTGACCAGGAGCTGAGGCAATTATGGAAATTCCATTTCCAAAATTAGGCCTCCTCTCTCCACTTGCCCCGGGTTCCCAGGCCAATGAGAACTGATAAATGCGGCATTTTCCTTGACCTCTTTTACCTCACTCGCGCCATCCGAGTGAGTTCTGGCTCGCCGTCCAAACAGGCATGTCCTGGCCCACTCCAGCTCGCCTCCCTTGGCGTCGACAAGACTGTACGAAGGACGTAGACTAGTAAGTAACAATCAATATCTCTTGAGTGTAGAGCCAGAGTATAGAAGATAATTCTCTTCTCTTTTCCATTTCTCTCAACATATGTGTGATGTGGTAAGAGAAAAATCAATGTCAAAAGAATCAGCCACAGACAGCACTGGGACTATAGCCAGTGAGCCACAAAAGACCGGATGGGGGATCCACTCGTAGGGTAGGTAACATACCTAAGTGCGATGTATGAGACCGTACCAATACAATAATACCGTACAACAAGTTGCCCCGGACCGGGAAGCTGCCCTGCGCTTTCCCACCCACCCCTCCAATCCCCGTTCCTGGCCGATCGCATAGCACCGGCTATTGCGACTAGTTAACGTCCACTTATCTCCTCAGATAAAGTATGTCGTAACATCATCCAGCATCATTAACACTGGGGACTCTTTGTAACTTATCCGTCTTTACCACCCCCAACAGACAATAACTTACATGACACTGCGTGTTTATAATTATGAAAACCCTTCCTTCCAAACTGAGATCATCTCTCCAGATGATTTTAAAATAATTCATATAAAGGGTCGTCTTCCCCAGTATTCTTCTCACTCACACGTTACACCTTTAGATGAAGTCATTTCTTCTGTTTGTAGCATAATTCTTCTCACTGATCCATTCTTCATCATCTTCATCTTCTTCTTCCCACTACTGACCCACCCTCTCGTCTCTCTGGATTCTCTTTCCAACCTTCAAAGAAAAGAACAAACATCTCGCTCATTCAACATAATCGTCGACCTACCTTTCTCTTATCTGCCTTTCTCTCTCAATTGCGGTTGACGTGTCGACTGCATTGCATGGCGGAGCTTGACAACTGTAAAAGCCGTCCCTTCCTGTCGGATAAGCCTCTCCCCCACCCACTGACCAATTCGAAGAATCAAAGAATCAAAGAATCAAAGAATCAAAGAATCAAAGAATCCGCCTCAATTGCATTTGTCTCAAACACAACTTGGAGCTAGGTGCGTTCGTTCTTCATCGCTTGTCTGTTACCTTGTCTTCGACTTCGTCTGTCTTTCATTTCACTTTCCGTCTGCCCTTTTCTTTTCAACGCACTTTTTAAGCTTCTCTCTCCCCTTGGAATTTCACCATTTGCGGTTGCCCGGGTTGGCTGGAGTGCTCATCACTGTTTCAGATTTCTTAAGCCGAAACTTGTCCGCTGAACATACCACTTAAAACGCACACAACTTCAAAATCTCCAGTCACAATAGTCACAATGGTGTCCCCCGCACCCTCGTCCTCGCCCATCCCCGATGGCCATCTAAATGGCGCCAACACTCTACCCGTGCGGGCCGGCCCCAAGCTCTATGGTAGTAACGACGGCGCTTACTCGGGAGCTGGCACCCCCATAGGCTTCCAACGTCACCCACACAACAAAATCCTCGAGAGTGTAGCCGGCTCAAGCATCCGTCAACCTTCCCCACAACCCACCCACCTGGGAATCCCCGGAGGCGGTTCACATCGGATCTTGTCCGAGGAAGATCCCGGCTATGTGGCTGCCAAGTTCGAGGGCAAGGAGAAGCAGATGGAGCAGGGTAAGTGACTACTCGAATTAAGCTAGCGCTCCGGTTGGTATCTGACCTCTTGGCAATTACAGTCATGGACCAGTTGGAAAAGAAGGGCTTCATTCCAGTGGAGTTCGTTCTAGGAGAGACTGAATGGTTCTACAACCAACTCGGAATCGATGACACCTACTTCCAGACGGAGTCTGTCGAGGCCATCGTTACGCAAATTCTGTCCTTGTACGCCGCTAAGGTTGCCGCCTACGCCCGGGACGACAAGAAGCTCGAAATCCGGCTGGACAAGGAGGCTGAGGATCACGCGGTTTACATTGACACCAGCAAGCCGGGTATCTCCTCCGTCGAGGGCCCGCGCTACGAGTCGCGGATTGATAAAAAGTACATCAATGGCTCGACACCCGAGAACAGTTACCGAGTAGAGACTTTCCGCTCGCCTACCTCGATTCCAGGTGATGATGGTCAGCAGCTGCGTTGCTACTTCGTCTACAAGTGTCAGTTTGTCAACCCGAACCCAGATCCCAATGAGACCAACATCGACATCATTGGTGAGAAGAGGTTCTTGCAGAAGGCCACCCCCAACACCAAAGCCATTTACCAAGAGATCATCAGCAACGCGGTCAGCCGCTCTGGCCCCGTCATTGAGATGTTCGAGATTGAAAAGAGTCGCGAGAAGAGACTGGTCATTGCCTACCGGCAAGGCTCGGCCATGGGTCTTTTCAGTGCTCTCTCTGATTTGTACCACTACTACCGCTTGACCAGCTCGCGGAAGTATTTGGAACATTTCTCCAACGGAATCACGGTGATTTCGCTCTATCTTCGTCCGTTGCCCAATCAGGAGATAGCTGCCAAGTTTCCCCCGATCGAGGCGGCGATTCACCAGATTATCAAGGAGGTCTCCCTTTTGTATTGCATCCCCCAGAACCGATTCCAGCATCATTTCGCAGTTGGCCGTCTCAGCTTGCAGGAGACGATTTATGCCCACTGCGCATGGGTGTTCGTTCAGCAGTTTTTGAATCGCTTGGGCTCTGAATACACATCGTTGACCGATCTCTTGGATTCTAACAACAGCGTTCACGCGGAGTTGTTGGCCAAGATTAAGAAGCGTCTGCGTACCGAGACCTTTACTTCGGATTATATTTCCGAGATCGTCAACAAGTATCCGGAACTAATCCACAAGCTATATCTCGACTTTGCCAACACCCACTATGTGCAGACCCGCGGCCCAGCTGAGGACGATTTCCTTCCTACGCTAAGTTATTTGCGACTGCAGGTCGACGAGGTCCTTGACGGCTCCAAGCTGAAGCAGCTCATCTCAAGCACAGCTGCCAACGAACATGATGAAATGGTCATGAGCGCTTTCCGAGTGTTTAATGCCTCCATTCTTAAGACAAACTTCTTCACTCCAACCAAGGTGGCCCTCAGTTTCCGGCTCAACCCTCATTTCCTCCCGGAGCATGAGTACCCTCAGCCCCTATATGGCATGTTCCTGGTCATTAGCTCCGAGTTTCGCGGGTTCCACCTCCGGTTCCGTGATATTGCGCGCGGAGGTATTCGTATCGTCAAGAGCCGGAACAAGGAAGCCTACAGCATCAATGCCCGCTCTTTGTTCGATGAGAACTACAACCTGGCCAATACTCAGCAACGCAAGAACAAGGATATTCCCGAGGGCGGTGCCAAAGGCGTAATCCTGCTCGACGTGAATCACCAGGACAAGGCCCGTGTCGCTTTTGAAAAGTATATCGACAGTATCCTTGATCTCTTGCTGCCACCAGTCAGTCCTGGCATCAAGGATCCCATTGTTGATCTGTACGGTAAAGACGAGATCTTGTTCATGGGCCCGGATGAGAACACGGCTGAGCTGGTTGACTGGGCGACGGAGCATGCCCGCAATCGTGGTGCCCTCTGGTGGAAGTCTTTCTTCACAGGGAAGAGCCCCAGACTGGGCGGCATCCCTCACGACACCTACGGAATGACGACGCTGTCCGTGCGACAGTATGTTCTTGGCATCTATCGCAAGTTGAAGATTGATCCCAGCACCATTCGCAAGCTACAAACTGGTGGCCCTGATGGTGATCTAGGCTCCAACGAGATCCTCCTCGCAAATGAAAAGTACACCGCCATCGTGGACGGCTCTGGTGTGATTGTTGATCCCCAGGGTCTCAATCAGGAAGAGCTTGTCCGACTGGCCAAGAATCGAGTCACAATTTCAGAGTTCGACCTGTCCAAGCTTTCGCCCCAGGGTTACCGGGTCTTAGTGGATGAGAGCAACGTGAGATTACCTAGCGGCGAGCTCGTCCACAATGGAATGATCTTCCGCAACCTGTTCCATCTGCGCAATGACCAACAGTATGACACCTTTGTGCCTTGCGGTGGTCGCCCCGAATCAATTGACCTGTCCACCGTGGGCAAGCTGATTAACGATGGCAAAGCCACCATTCCCTACATTGTCGAAGGTGCCAATCTGTTCATCACACAAGACGCCAAGCTCCGCTTGGAGCGTGCCGGCTGCATCCTGTTCAAGGACGCGTCCGCCAACAAGGGTGGTGTGACCTCGTCTTCCCTGGAGGTTCTGGCTTCGTTGTCTTTCGATGATGCCGAGTTCGTGGAGAACATGTGTATTCGTGAGGACGGCACGGTGCCCAATTTCTACAGCGAATATGTCAAGCAGGTTCAAGAAGTGATCAAGCAGAACGCCACCCTCGAATTTGAGGCTATCTGGCGCGAGCATGAGCAGACCGGTGTGCTCCGTAGTGTGCTCAGCGATCAGCTTAGTATCGCGATCACCAAGCTTGATGAAGAGCTTCAAAACACCGAGCTGTGGGATAACGTCGAGCTCCGTCGCTCGGTTCTCCACGATGCTCTTCCTAAGCTGCTTCTGAACAAGATCGGCCTGGACACTATCCTTCAGCGTGTACCGGAGAATTATTTGCGGTCTATTTTTGGTAGCTACCTCGCCAGTCGGTTTGTTTACGAATATGGTAGCAGCCCAAGCCAATTCTCTTTCTTCGATTTGTGAGTTACCTGCTCTTGATGCTGCCTTGGCAGACTTTGCTAACTTAGTCGACAGCATGACCAAGCGACTTGCGCAGCTTTCCCAGGCGTAAACGTGATTACTAGACGAATATACATGGGTCTTCCTTGATTCTTGAAAGAGTGCGATGATATGCATCTTCCGGGTTATGCCTGCTGCACATATGCAGTTTGCTAAGGATATATTAATTATGAGTAAATGTCAGTTGTTGTGTGGATTACAGAAAAGCTGTTTAAGAGCCTAGCCTAATAAAGCGATTTGTTCATCTTCAGGACCTTTGGTCTCTTCTCTTCTTCCATTTATTAATCAATCTAGGATGTCTTCCCGTAGCGTGGGCAGGTTTGGAGACTCGTATGGTGTGCAACCTATGACCAAGAGCAAGAGAGATCTTGACTAATTATTCATCCAGTGTCGCTCAATCGTGATGCAAATCCCCTTGCTGCCAGAATCTCGCGAGCGCGTACACGTGACACCTATGCGTGGCACAATGGCTGCATTTGAAGCAACGGGCGCACGCTCACTCCGCCGGTCGTCAATGAATCGCTAAACCGCTACATCGCATTGGACGCACAAAAAACATCGCCCATGGAAAGGACACGCTCTATTTACGTCTAAATGTCAATCTCCTTCATTTCGATATTGAATTGTGGGCCCTCGTCATGCTCGATGCGTTCGATCTGCTCCAGCTGCGCCCACAGCTCTGGATATTTGGCTCGGGCCCACTTCTCGACCTCATCTTTCCAGTGTTGGTAAGGAATCACATTGTAGAATTGGCCGATCCTAAAAGGGCACTTTAGCAAGACCACGTGGACGTGACGGCAGGAAAAGCAGAAGACAAGAGGAGATTAGAGTGTTTCGGGGAGGGGGATGAACTAACGAGTTGCGGGTCGGCTTGAGGCCAGTCTCGGCCTCCATCTTCTCCAGGGCCTCGGTGGCGAGGTCGAATTCGCAGTGGGCGGCTAGAGCTTTGACATACGCCATGTACAGTTGGCGGTTGCGCTCGATGCCCAGCAACTTGACCTTGTCCATCATCTTGAGGGCCTCCTCAACACCGTTATTGTGCCTGGCGCACGTCTCGAAAAAGATAGGGATGGTCTTGTGGGACGGACCCTCGTCCGACTCTAGGATGCTTCGGAAAACTTTCATTGCCTGCTCGGGCATGTCGCAGGAGGCGTAAGCGAGCATGAGCCCGTCGAGCACGCGCGTGGTTAGGTCGACTTCGACGTCGAGTTTGAGCATGTTGTGCACGAGCTGAAGGTGCTTTGCGGATTGGGTGCGAGCGATGCCGACGAAACAGCGCGCGTACGTGTCAGGCTTGGGCCGTCGGGCGAAGTCCTCGGCCTGTCGCATATGGCCGAAAACGAGGTAGGCGAGGTCGCTGCGGTGGCGTTTGAAGAAGGAGGTCATGATCTCGGTGCGCGAGCGGACGCCGGTTTCCGGGAAGGCCAGCAGCAGCAGGTTATATGTCTCCCAGGCATCGGAGTCCTTTTGCTCGAGGTCCAAGATGAATCCGGTGAGCGAGTTGCGAATCGTCGCCCGCTCTTCCGTGTCATACAGCCCAAGGCGTGGCCGGAGCAGTGCCGAAACGCCCTCCCAGTCGAGTCGGTAGAGTAGCATGCGTGTGATCGCTGCCACAGTCCCTGCCTCTAGCCGTACGTTGTTCTCAAACAACGGGTCCAGGAAGGCCGAGATGCGGTCGAATATCGCATCTTCCTGGCCCGATCGGCAGAGAAGTCTGATTAACTTGTTCATTAGTGACATGTTAGCGGTCGCCATGGCTTCTGGATCCTGCAGATCGTCCATGGAGCGCAATGCCCTCCCAGTATCACCCGCCAGAATGTAGGTTTCCAGTTGCAAAAGCTGCGTTCTCGCGTTGGTTTCTAGAGCCCAGTGAGAGGCTAACGCAGCAAATTTTACAGCTAGGGCAGGGTTCAGTATCGTGTTTGCGTACTCTATCAGATCATTCACACATGAGATAGTCAGAGCCTTTCTAGCATTCTCGTCGCCCGCCATCATGTGATTGGCTTTATCTGAGACGGCAGTTGCACTCTGCTTCTGCACCCCTTCCCAGAAGAGGGTGATGCCCAGAGTCTTGCAGACCGGCATGTTGGAAAGTGACTCGAACACCGATGCTGCCCACGCGGTATCGGAGTTCATCGTCGCATATTTGATAACGGCCTCTCTCACGGCCACTGTGGGCGTTTGCCCGTTAGAAAGAGGACATTCATAGATCGTTTTCGTCGCGGTAAACAAGTCCTCTTCGATAAGAAGCTTAACCAGGTCTTCATGAGATCTGTGGTCGAACTCGACGTTGAATTTCTCAAGATTCTCAGCTGTCCGTTCTAAACGGCGCTTCTCACCAACCATAGCAAATCCCTTCATAACCACATGCCAAGGAGTCGGGCGAGCCATCTTCAGCCTAAACCAGAAACGCTCTAGAACGTCGCATGCTTCATCGGGGTGGCCATTCAAGGCCTGTATGTTAATATACGCAATGAAAGCTGACCGACTGATATGTTTCATATTGGGCGACGGATCCCGGCACAATTCCGAAAAGGCAGCGCGAGCCAATTTTCGCACAATCGGTTGTGATTCAGGTAAACACTTGGCCTGTGATAGGATAAAGAGCATATTTTCGAGGGCCTCAGTCGACAATGTTTTCTGCCATTCCTCGGGGTTCAATTCTTCCGCATGAGTTCGCATGTAGTGCCAGGTGACGGAGAGCAGGGTGGCATGGAAATGCGTAATGACGCTGGGGGAAGCAGCGCGTTGCCCCAAAAAGTCGTTCAAGGCATTGGCTAGGATTTCAAAGGTAGGCCCTCTGCTTTTATCAGCCATTGACCTCATGAGGTCTCTCATAGGCTTTAGGCCAATCTCGAAGGGCAGAGTTGTAGACTGCGGGCTAGTCGTTGGGGCCACATTGTACGCGAAGAGCCCGCGTCGCTGGCCATGGTAGCTGGTCAAAAGATCGAGCTTGCGAGGCCGATGATTCCGGACCGTATGCAGTGAGCGATGGAGGCAGCGCGAGAATGAAAGCGGTTCATTGTTCAGAATTGCCCGAAAAACTCGCCGGGTGAGGTGGGATTGCATTTTGGGCGTTGCGGTGCGGTGCGGTGCGACGTAGAGCACCTTTGGTGGTAGTGGACAAAAACAGTACTAATCAGCGAGAGGAGAATGCAGGTAGAGACGAAAGCTTGCCAAGGTATCCTGGACCATGGCTTGGAGCAAAGAAGTCTGCAACCTGAGGCCGTTGAATAGTTTGAATTATCGGGGAAATGGATGGGGATGCAAAAGATGCGAAGGAGGAGGGCGGAAGGTCCGATTATTCTGTCGGAGGCGGCTCTTGGCGGTCCTCCCGAAAAGCCGAAAATCGAATTCACCTTCACCATTCTCCCCGGTTTGAAACGCAAGCCACGGACACTCCAAGTTGCCTTTCCTGAGTATCGATAATGGCACTCCACCTGTTCTCCTGGTCGCCGCTGCGCACCATCGGCTCAACCTTCAATGCTGCGTCCGCTCGTCGCTGGAACTGGACCGCTGCTCCAAATGCTGCCGCAACTGCTGAGCATATTTCGATTCTACATAACAATAGTATGTGACCTTGCTGCATGATGCTTCTCTCGGCTCTATGCCAGGCTTGTAGCTCCCTACATGCTTATCCTTAGCGGATGGCATCGCTGACTGTCCTTTGTCGCATTGTAGCTCAACGGACAACCCGTCGCCGAGCCCGTCGGTTCATCGAAGAGCAGAAGGCTATCAACGAAAGCCGTCCCCTGGAGAGATTTCAGACCCGTGAATGGAAGGCTGGTGATATCTATGCTCCTCACGATCTCAGTCCTTCGCAGATGAGGAGGTGGAAAGAGCGCCACTCCCCGTCCACAGATGTCTTCGACTCTCTGAACTTGAATCCCTTAACTATGTACAAGGTACGTGAGACACGGACGTCAACGGTGAGGCCGTGCAGGCTGTCTAGAAAACTTTGCTAAGGGGGATTCGCGCCTGACAGAACTTCTCGATCATGTCCGAATACATGACCCCCATGGGCCAGATCAAGCACCGCAATGAGACCGGTCTTCGCCCAGTCAACCAACGGAAAATGGCCAAGGCTATCCGTAGAGCTGTCGGGCTTGGACTGATGCCTAGTGTCCACCGGCACCCGGAAATTCTGGCCGCTCAGGTTCAGTCACGTTTGGAGGGAGGTAGCACGTATTAAGAGATGTACTTCGAGTTATCGCATCGATGGTGTCGGCGGCTGGGCCTGGCTTGTTCTTTTTATTCCCTCTTGGACATTTTTTCATATTGTCAGTTGATTTGCTGTAAGATGATTTTGAATTTCGGGCGGTGTCCATGTACAGTACTGTACTATCTCTCTACTATGCCTTGACGTGAGGCATTGGTAGTGGTAGCGCATAACAATTAGTAACTTGCCTTTTCACAAAGCAACTACAGGTCCCAATGATCTGTATGAGATCATCGAGGCTTTACATCGACGGAAGGTAAGGCAAACATCATGGATAGAAAAGCCTAAGAATGGAGGGAGCGAACAGCGTGCGGCAAGTAACTTAGCTTGTTGTATAAATTGTCCACGGTATCTCCGGCCCACACCCAATGCGTACTACGTCAACAATAAACATTGCCCGCCCACCACATCGCCTCTCCTCTTTCCATCTTTCCCCTAATCCCTCCTCTCTCCATCTGTGCTACCCTTTCAAGTCAGAACCCCTTTCTATCACACAGTCACTGATATTGTCTGCTGGATCAGCCATGTCAATCACCAATGGTCTGCCCTATTCTGATCCTGTTGGCTATGCCGTGCCCCTCAGCTGACTCTTCCCTCCATAGAATCGATCTGGGCTGCGAACCCCACCACCACGAGGGGCCAGCCCACTCAACTCTCGTCGGACGCCAAAGGTGAACGGCTTGCATATGCGGTATGTCCTAATTAGACATTGGTGATAGGAACGATGTGCGGGCGCTGACGATTGCTTGTTGGTACGCTGCACAGGCCAATAAGTCCATCTTCTTGCGCTCCATCGACAACCCCTCGATCGCCAGACAGTACACCGAACACAAGGCCCAGACAACAGTCGCCCGTTTCTCCCCCTCTGGCTTCTATGTGGCGAGTGGTGATGCGACCGGTATTGTGCGGGTTTGGGACTGTGTCGGAGAGGGCATCACCAAGGGTGAATACAGCATTGTGAACGGCCGCATTAACGACCTTGCCTGGGACGGCGACTCCCAGCGCATCATTGCGGTTGGTGACGGCAAGCAGCGATATGGGCACTGTATCACCTGGGACAGTGGTAACACGGTCGGCGAGATCTACGGGCACACACAACAAATCAACTCCGTCTCTATCAGGCAACAAAGACCGCTGCGGGCCGCCGCCGCCGGTGACGATAAAAACCTCGTCTTCTACCACGGCGCGCCGTTCAAGTTCAACACAGGCATACGAGACAAGCACACCAATTATATTTATGGTGTTGGCTTCAGCCCCGATGGCTCGACCCTTGTCAGTGTCGGTGCTGACCGGAAGATCTGGCTCTACGACGGCAAGACTGGCGAGCCGAGAGGTCAAATTGGAGAAGGAGAGCACAAAGGAAGCATTTTCGCTGTCTCGTGGGCGAAAGATTCGCGCAAGTTTGTGACTGCCAGCGCTGACAGGACTGTGAAGATCTGGGATGTGGAAGCGGGTAAGGTTGCCCAGAGCTGGGATATTGGAGAAGAAGGAATGTCAAACGTCCGAGATCAGCAAGTTGGAGTGGTGTGGCCTCCGGCCAGAAGTGATAACCTGCTCATCAGTCTCTCGTTGAGCGGGGATCTGAACTACCTAGTGGAAGGCACTCCCAAGCCCCGGCAGGTAATCCAGGGCCATCAGAAGAACATCACGTCCCTGGCCCAGTTCCACTCTGGCAGCGACACGGAAACATTATGGTCGGGCAGCTTTGATGGAAGGGTCTGTCATTGGGACGTCCCGACGGGAACTGCGGAAGAGGTGGAAGGAGACGGCCACACAGCCTACATTGCCGGTCTTGCTCCGACTCAGGAGGGCGTTGGACGCATCTACAGCGTCGCTTGGGATGACACGATTCGATCTGTTGATCTTGGTGCTAAAACCTACACCGGCGTCTCGTCCAAGTTGTCTGGCCAGCCCAAGGGCATCGCGGCTGCAAAGGACAAGGTGGTAGTAGGGACGATCGAGAGCGTGGAGATCTATCACGATGGGCACAAGACCGGCGAGTTCAAGCCTCAGTTCGCCGTGACGACAGTTGCAGCCCATGGGAGCTTGGCTGCGATCGGTGGTGAGGACTCGTCCGTCCAGATCTGCGACATCTCAGCCCAGGGATTTACCCCCAAGACCGAGTTCAAGGCATCGCGGAACGCAATCTCGGCCTTGGCATTCTCCCTGGACGGATCGCTCCTGGCCGTTGGGGATTCCCGGGGCCGTGTGCTGGTCTACAAGGCTGCCGGTGGCCAACTGGTCACCGACCGATGGACGGCGCACACCTCCCGAGTTACCTCCATCTCGTGGAACGAGGACAATACCCATGTTGTTAGTGGAGGCCTCGACACCAATATCTTCGTGTGGAGCTTGACGAAGCCGGGAGACTGGCTTCAAGTCTCCAATGCCCACAAAGAGGGCGTGAATGGAGTCGCTTGGATTGCAGGCGGATCTAAGATTGCCTCCGCTGGAGCGGATGCAGCGATCAAAGTGTGGAAGGTGGAAGGATTGGCATGATGACTGTCTTTGCATGGTCTTTGTTAGAGAGGCTTTTTGACAAATCTTGCTTTTCGTATACTGTGCATACACACATACACATACATATACACATACACATACACATACACATACACATACACATACACATACACATACTGTACATACAATAAACAATCCATTCTAATTGCGTTCTGGATCGACGCCCAGGGTACTACTTACTACGTAGGTCATGGGTAAGTTAAGTTATTACTCGTATCAAGGTTAGCAAGTCAACACACAATTGGTCGGATGACCAGCTCTCCACCGCCCGCGCCCGGCCCGGGCGTTAATCAAGCTTCCCCATTCATCATTCATCGATCCATCCATTCCAATCTCTTTCTTTCCAGTTGGTCTTTACTACAGAGTGACTACAAGTGGTAGTAGGAAGTATGGCCCGGGCGCTGGTTCTCTCTTGTCCATTGCCCTGCCAGACCTGCTCCTCTCCTCCTCCCCCACAACCACCACCACAAAACCGACTGTTTGTCTTCTTCTTTCCCTCTTTTCCTTTCTCTTACCCTTATTTTCTGGTGCCCATTTGACTTCTCCCTGACGCCAGTACCATGAAGTGATAAGATGTCTCGGTCTGGGGACTTATCAAGCAACTCCCGTCGCATTTTACGCCCCAAAAAGGTTAGCCAGCCATAGTCCGATCAGCCATGATGAAATAACGATCAGCTTCTATCTTCCCCCAGAACTTACGGTGATTGACCCTTTTCCTTTTCATCATGAAATTAGCTACGATATGCGACCTTCGTCCTCCCACGAACTGGTCAGCGACTGAAAGGTCTCATTGATCTCCGAAATCCGGATTCCGGATTGAATGGCAACAGCGATGACGACGAGCGCCGAGCACTTCTGAGCGGCGAGATTGCTGCCCCTCGCGGAGGTCTACTGGCGCCTCTGTGGGGTCATATCAAAAGTATTGGTCCACAAGCGCATGAATTTCTCTCGTCAGAACTGGGGATCGGCGTCTTGAAGTGTAGTCTAGCTTATTTGCTTGGCTCCCTCGCAACCTTCGTGCCCGCTATATCCTCATTCTTGGGCCACCAAGATGGCAAACACATGGTGGCTACGGTCACTGTTTACTTCCATCCTGCGCGATCGCAGGGGAGCATGTATAAGGCCTTGATCTGTGCCTTTGCCGCTTTCCTCTACGCCGCTCTCATCTCCGTAACCAGCATGTTCGTCTCGATGTTTTTTCAAGACACCTTAAACATGGTTCTCCTTGGTCACGCCGTCGTTTTAGTCGTGTTTTGTGGAGGTGGCCTGGGCTTCATTGGATGGACAAAGCAGAGGTTTGGTGACCCTCTTGTCAACGTCGCATGCTCGTTGGCGTCGCTTTCCACCATCACGGTATTGACAAAAGAGGGCGCGGTGCAGAGTGGTGATTTGTCATTTGCAAAGATCTCCCAAGTCCTGAAGATGGTGGTCATGGGAGTAACGGCCTCCATGGCAGTGTCCTTTCTGATCTTTCCGATTTCGGCACGAAAGCAACTGCGGTCAAACCTCACTACGGTCACGGAGACCTTGGCAACAATGCTGGCTTTGATCACTGAGAGCTTTCTGAGTGGCTCGGAAGAGGAGCTTCAGACGGCGGAATTTCTTGAGACCGCCGCACGGCATAAAAAAGCGTACGGTCAGCTGGACAAGCTTGTGCGTGAAGCTAAAATGGAGCATTTCGTTGTAGGTACCGAAAATGAATACAGACTAGAAAAGACACTGGTCCGCTGGGTCCAGGATATCACACACAATCTAGGTGGTTTGCGCAGTGCTGCTCATCTACAGTTTCAGTTACTCAAACAAACCCAAGCTACCGAGACTGCACACCAGGCTTCGGATGTCAATTTTGGACTCGGTGCTGGTCCGCTACCCAGTCCCTGGTCATTACATGAGGACCGTCCGCTTCTGGAACCCATCTACGAGAGGCCAGAAGAAGACATATTGGAGGCAACGGGCGGCGACGGGTTCGATTCCAATGCAGGGAATGGTACCAGTCCTGAAGCCGAACAAGTTCTCCACCCGGCGGACATCTTTGCTATATTTATCAGCCATCTGGGGCCCTCAATGGTAAGCGCTTCTGACAAGGGTAGCACTACCGTGATGCATGCTGATGATAGTCCTAGAGATCTCTAGCGTTCACGCTGAAGGAGATCTTTCGCGATATTCCTTTCAAGCCGGAATCTGGCTATCGAGTATCAATCAATAGCAAATACCGCTCGAGTCTTGATAGAGCGCTGCTATTATATCGAGATTCACGGGAAGAGGCGCTCAAGACCATTTATCGGCAACGAGAAGTCCTCGGAATTCAGACGCTGGAAGTCGAGGCTGACCTGGAGGAGGTGTCTGCCAGCTGCGGGCATTTCAGTTTTTCGTTGCTTGAATTTGGAGAGCAGCTGAAAGAGCTTCTCGCCATCTTGGATGAGCTGCAGCTTGAGAGCGAGGAGAGGCCCGGTGGCCGATCATGGAATTGGCTCAAGTTCTGGCGCTGGGCCTTCGACGGACGAGCAAAGAGGGACATGTTGGATGCCACGATGGAGCAGGCTCATCTAGGCGAGCCCAACCTCCTCAAGCCGCCTGGTGTTCCGAGCGTGTCATCTAATGTCACCGCAATCAGTCTTGCAAAACAGAGAATTGGCTATCGTTTGTGGCGCTCCCTTGGGGTTTTCCGCCGGGACGACACCAAGTTTGCGATCAAAGTTGGCACCGGCGCTGCCCTTTATGCCCTGCCTGCATTCATCCCGTCCACTCGACCAGTTTACGGCCATTGGCGAGGCGAATGGGGTTTGCTCTCGTACATGTTGGTTTGTTCTATGACTATTGGAGCCTCGAATACGACGGGATACGCACGTTTCCTCGGTACCTGTTTGGGCGCAGGTTGTGCGATCCTCTCATGGTATGCTACCGGCGGAAACGTTTTTGGCCTCGCAATTCTAGGCTTGCTCATGGCTACTTGGAACTTCTACATCATCATCGTGCGAGGTCAAGGACCAATGGGCCGATTCATCATGCTGACATATAACCTCTCGGTTCTCTACGCCTATTCACTTACTCAGAAAGAAGGCAGGAATGATCAAGATGAAGGAGGGGACAGCCCCATCATCACCGAGATTGCCCTGCATCGTGTGGTTGCTGTTCTATCGGGCTGTCTCTGGGGTATTATCATAACGAGGATGATCTGGCCGATCAGTGCACGAGAGAGGCTAAAAGACGGACTGAGTCTGCTCTGGCTTCGCATGAGCTTGATCTGGAAGCGTGGCCCCTTGTCCACCATGGCCAACCCGAAGGAGTCTGCGGGATTCATGAGCGCGCGGGAGAAGCTAGAAGTCGAACGATTCCTGTCACATCTGGAGTCTTTGCAAGCCTCCGCCCGTTCAGAATTTGAGCTGAGGAGTGCTTTCCCCGATGCTAGCTATGGCAATATTCTTCGTCGTACGCGCAGCATGGTGGACGCTTTCGTCGCCATCAACCTAGAACTGGTCAAAAACATGACGGCGTCCGAGGGAGAGTTATCTATCTTACGGTACACTGTGAAGGAGAGGCAGCAGCTGTCCCATCGTATCAGTCATTTGCTGACAGGTAAAGTCCGATATTACCAGAGGCAACGAACCACTACTGATATTCAACCCCTCAAACAGTTATGGCCTCTTCCATGAAGCTGGAGTATCCTCTAAGCGATGCTCTGCCGAACGTTGAGCACGCCCGAGATCGACTCCTGGCGCGTCTTTTTCATTATCGTAAAGACCCTGAGGCATCTCGAATGTCGACCGACGAAGACTATGCTCTATTGTATGCATACGGTATGTTCTTTGTCCTGCGGAAACCACCCTCAACGATGGCTAAATCTGAACTTAGTGCTGGTTGTGGGACAATTGTCCGGAGAAATCGAAGCCATTCTTGGGGAAATTGGTCGTCTTTTCGGAGTCCTGGATGAGGATGCAGTGAAGTTGTATGCTTAGACGTTGGCGGGCGGTAGGACCAAGCGCCCGGACTGTAGAGAAGAATAGCTTTGAAAAGTGAATTCCACGTAGAGGATCAATAAAAGAAATAAGAAAATCGGTCTCTAATTCTTCAGTCGTGTTGCGATTTTACAACTGCGACATTTGGTGGGGGAGAGTAAGATGTAAATTGGATCAATCGTTTGCGGATTGTCGGAAAGTCCAACAACTTCTCCGTCGCTCTCTCACATAACTCACTCTCACTCCCTCACTCACTCCCTTCTCCCTCTCCCCCGCTGTTATTTTCCATTTCCCATCAACGCGCCGTCTTAGCCTGCTCTTGCCCAACAATCTCTCACGTACTTTCGTCTCATTCGACCGCCTAGAACTCAGCCCGCATCTTGATTAAGATTGAATGGGATGAGTCCCTCTGCTTCATGAAGGCCTAGTCCCTCCTCCCACCCTCTCCCCGGCTTCGCGCAGCCCCCCGGTGCCCCGTCGCGCTTTCGCGAGCACCGCAACCATGCAGATCGACCCAGCTGCTCTGAGTCGGCCAGACTCTGCAGCGACCACAATTACCTCGTCCAAAGGTTCTGCGGCCAGTGCTCCAGCACAGCAGAAGTCGACCAAGGCGCTCATCGCCGTTCCGCGACTTGACCTTGAACCTGTCTACACGGAGCTCAAAGCCGCCGTCGGCGACCACTGGGCCGAGTATAAAGAGGCCACCACTCTGTTCCTCCTTGGTGAGTTGGACATGATAAAACTGACCCCAACACTGAACGACTATGGTCTCTGGGTTTCTACAACCACATTCGCGGTGCCGTCTTGTACGGTCGTATCTATGTGACCCCACATCTCCGCTTTGCCTCCATTCAGATCGCAAGACTGACGTCTGTTTTTCCGATGAGCAGGACAACTGAATCAAAGTGAGCTGTCATCGCGCGTCGATCATATAATATGCGCCGACCAAAAAACCGAGCACCTCCACAATAACTTCATCTGCGCGATCATCGGAAACTTGACCCGAGATCTTCCCGACCATGGAGTCGCTAGTTGGGTATCCGCAAATGACAAGCCCTCAATCGTATCGAAACCGACGTCAGGGGACGCTGCCGAACAGAGACTCAAAACAGAGGTCATGCAGCTGCCTCCGCGGGACCGGCGCAGACTCAAGGCTATACCCGAGGTAGGCAGCCCGTCAATCGATATGTGGCTGACCACGCCATATAAATTTGATTGTACAACTCTAACATGATGTGATGTTCTACTGGCCCAGCGTGATCCCAATGATACCTCGTCCAATGATTTGGTAGAGTACCACCTGGCGAAGCAGATTAAATTACCGAGCCAGGTACCTGCCAGCGCCGGGGGTTTAAACAAGACAAGTAGGTCTCCTGCTTTACGGATAACTCGACTCTTTGTTTTGCGATGAGAAGCTCACTCCTCTGACTTGCGATAGATTGGGAGCTGGAAATCCGAAAACGTTATGCACAACCCCTAGCATCTGAGACCGGCGAGTTTCCAGATGCTGAATCAATCCATGCACGCATGGTTCCTATATGCTACGAAGAGTCCATAGTCAGTGGCGCAAGCTTACCCTGTGCGGAGTACATGGCCATTGCAACAGAGACGTTCGTTAAGGAAGTCTTGTCAGTGGTTTTCTCGCGAACCAGGTCTAACGGCCCGTCGGGAACCATCAATGGCATGATGATGCGCAAATATCGACAACAGCTAGAACGAGAAGAATTGGCATTTACGAGAGGCGAAATTGTCAAAGACAGTGCAACCGGACTATTGCCTATTGAAGCTAAAGAGGCAAGTGTCCGAAAGCCACTGGGGGTTCGGGACCTGCGGCTAGCACTAGAACTCGGTAGCGGTGTTCTCAGTCATATGCCCCTGCTTGTGGACCAGATTATGGGCGGCTATCTCGAAGATGAACACGAGGCCGAAAGGCATGATTCAATTGACGACGTTGTAGAGATCACGAATGACGACTCTGAACAGAATTTATTCTCTGATGAGATGGACATTGAAGACATCGACTCGGATTGGGAGGGAGGCACAACGGCTGATAGGGAGCACTTGGGTGCTTTGTTGGATGAGTGTCTATCCATGGCCGCATGAACTATCCTCCCTCTCGCCCCTTCTTTCCCTTCTCCATTTCCCCCCGTTTTCTCTCCATGTATACACTGCGTCAACCGCTGACCCGTTCTCTACTTCCTGTCTCTTTTCTTGTTCTGCTTTCACGGCCTCAAGCCGCTTGATATCCTTGCTTTCATTGCGTTGCACCTTCTTGCCTATTTTTCCCCATGATACACACACATTCATACACATTTCGATCTGGATTCACCGAAGATTGGGTTCAGCATCTTGGATCTGGCGGAGCGTCAAGGCGTCTTGGGAGTCTATAAGGATTGCCGCTATGGCGCGCGACCCTGTCATTTCTGCATTTGGCATGGAGTTCACAGATGTTTCTGCTTTTTTTTGTTGTTCATATTGACCTCTGTTTCCCTGCTACACCAGTATATTGCTTTCTCTCTTGCTTTCTTACCTATGATCACTATTTGGGCAGTTGGTCTTGTTCATGTGACAAATCATCTTTCTTGGCTGAGAAGCCAATGCAGTCGACCCGATTTACCTACTGTGCCTTTTCATAACAGCTTCAGTCTCGCACAGTGACATCGAACGTCTCTACTGGTTGCAGCCCACTTGGGAGGTGACTGTGGCCCAGTTGGGGACATCCTGAGCTTGCCCGCTACGATCATCCGAGCTGCTCTAAGACCCCACGGATTGGTCAATCACGAAGACAGGAACTGGACATTCTATGCATGGCTGTGAGCCTGTGAATGCAAGGGATCACCCTGCGAACCTGGCGATGCTATTCTTGTTTTGTCTATGTACTGTACATTAACTGCTGGCACCGCCTAATTGTAGGTTATTCCGGGGTTGCTCTAATCGACTGACGATGACTTATGATCTTCAAGACATTTCAAGTCAGCTGCGATCGAGTACCCTGCTGACCAAACGAGCTTGTTTGACTGATGAGGCTTGTAGCCGTAATGCGTCTCCACGCCGAACTCGGGCGTTTCTTGGTAGGCTTGTTGTCAATAGAACTGAGCTTGAGTCGGAGGTGAAAGGGTTGCTCAAGCGCCGAAGTCCTTTCATTGAGTGAGACGGTCGGCAACCATTTTGAGAATTTCCTCGGTTGACTTGCGCGCATTGGACGGGTCTTTGGATACCGATTGCCAGACTTCGCCGTGCTTCGGTTCGGTCGTGCTACATTTAGCCACGACATCTGCTCGTTTCTCCTGCACACAGATAGAGAGTCAGTTTCTGAATTGCTCAAAAGAAGAAGGGAAAGGGTAGTTGAAAGTGGGAAAGGGGGACTACGAAAGAAAAGGGTTCAATCGTACCTCTGTACCGTGCTGCAACAGAAACTTATAATACCAAGCCCACCCGTCGCCCAAATCACTGTCGGTGACAATGGCCTTTTCGAACCAGGTCATTGCCTTCTCCAGTCGACGCTCCCCCCAAAAGATACGAGCCACCGTGATGAACAGGACCGGGTCGTTATCGGCCTTCTTGATAGCCTCCAAGCTACGGGCCTTTCTCTGCGAGCGAGGCTCAAGGTGCCAAATGCTTTCGCTCCATAGCAGGCCAGATGCGGGGACCTCTTGCAGGGCTTTGGCCATCAAGACCTTGGCCTGAGCGATGTTGTTGGCACGTCGTTCCACGCGGACACTCTCGGTCCACAATTCCGGGCTCTTGGGTACTGCAAGGCGGGCGCGGTCTAGAACCGAGCGAGCTTTGACGACCGCCCCGGCCTTTTCTTCCAGCCGGGAGGCCAGCAGCCAGAGCGGTGCCGACTTGGGGCACGCTCTGGTACCGGTTCCATAAGCCTCCCTCGCCTGAGGATACTTGTTCTGGGCTTCGTAAATCTGGCCTTTCATCATCCATAACTTGTCCGCTTTAGGGTAGATTTGGAGACCTTGATTGACGAGGTCAAGCGCCTCGTCAACGTTGCCCAGTTGCCGCTCAAATGCGACACTCTTGACCCATACGCGATCCGTTCCTGCTTCACGGCGGGCCGTGGAAAGAAGCTCTCTAGCCTGGGCTGTCTGGTCGGCATCAGCCTCCAACTTGACGGCAGCTAGCCAGATGTCTTCGTTGTTCGGGTTCTGATTAAAAGCACGGCCGAGCACTCGTCGGGCGTCGTCGATTTCTCCCGATTGCCATTTCTCTTTAGCAAGCTGCAACCACAGCTCCTCGCTTTGAGGACAGGCTTCCACGGCCTTTTCAAGCACCTGCCACAGTGCTTCTTTGCTACCGTGGTTGCGCTCGAGGTCAGCAGCCGCCAGCCAGATCGACCGGCGATTGACAAAAACACGGAGTGCATAGGCATAGATAGCCCTAGCTGTTTCGTACTTGCCGCGGGCAATACTGGCCTTGGCATCCTCCATCCAGATGTCCTTACGGTCATCATCCTCGTCGAGACCCCATCCGAGAGTCTCGCGGATAATAGCACCGCAAGTGAGGATGGCACCCTCCTCCTCACATTTCTCAGCCTCGGCAATCCATTCCTCCCTCTTAAGCATCGCGTTCTCTCTTGCCAAGCTCTGTACAGCCCTCTTCATAACGTTGACCTTCTCGGATGTACCCATTTGTTCCTGCAACCTCGCGGCTGCGACCCAGACTTCATGGCTGGTGGGGACGGCTTTTCGAGCAGCATTAAGAACCTTCTGCGCATTTTCTGGGGTCTCGAGGCGCGCTAGAGCAAGCCAGAGCTCCACTGACAGAGGTATGATTTCAACTGCTTTTGCGAGAAGAAGACGTGCATCTGCTGGGTCTTCCTCCAGGTTGACGGCCTCCTTCCAGATGACAACGGATTGGGGAATGTGAAGAATCGCTTGTCTGAGCACATTCTTTTTGGCTCGGGGCTCGGTTTCCAGTCTCATCGCCTCAATCCACAGTCTTGTTGAGCGGTCGTTGTTCTTGATCGCGTTTGCAGCTATAACCTTGGCGTTATGTCCTTCGTTGAGTCGGATGTTCTCCAGCCAGGCGTCTTCACTTTTCGGGCACAATTCGCAGCCCTTGGCGATGACATTCCTGGCTGTCACAACTCTACCGGCAAGTTCTTCCAGTCGAGCCAGAGCAATCCACCCGGGAGCATGCTTGGGGTTTGTCTTCGTTACTGATTCTAAGAGAACACGAACCCGCTTAATGTCGCCGATTTCCACCTCGCCCGCCTTGAGCTCCGACTGGGTGAGGCTTGTAAGATAGCCCTTAGGGTCAATGTTGGTGGCGCTCCCCGAGGCCGAGTCGCCCGAAGAGCCCATCGCAGCTTGATCCAGTCTGACCTGTAGCACCTTGTCACGCGCGGCACTTATATTGGCAAAATTCGTTATCGTTCCATCCGCGCTCTCTGCTCCCGCGGCGACACTGGTCTGCGCACCGTCGTCTGCCACGGTTGTTTCGAACTGCGTCGAGTCCCTTGCACTGGCGATCACACTGTCCGGCACCGCATAGAACCGTTGGCGGAGGTTCTGCTTCGCGCGTCTGTTCTTGCCCGTGAGATCTCCCACTTCCGGTAGGTTCGCCCACTCGTCTTCGGAGACGGAGGCTAGCGATCGTTTCAAATCGGCAAATTGCTGCTGAATCTTGGGGTTCTTGCGTTCGTAGTCCTCTCGCTCTTGCCGCTCTCGGGCTTCTCTGGTAGGAGCCAGTTTCCATGTCAATAGTTCATCCTGACCGATAACCACCGCGTAGGGAGTGCAGTCAACTAACCTTCGCATCTTGCGTCTTTTGTCCATCTTCTCATCTACCTCCCGGTAGATCCTGTCGGCTTCATCATCCTCCTGATCGAACTGGCCGTAGGCAAACAAGCCCACTTCATTGTCCGGATCCTGGAACCGCTCATCCTCCTCCTCGTCTTCGGCTTTGTCGTCCTTGCCGCCCTTGTCTCGCCCGGCCCCATAAGCAGTCGGGGGCGCGGCTCCTAGCTGTTGCGCTCGTTTGGCGAGAGCTGCCTGGATCTGTTCCGGCGTGGGCCCTTCACGCGCAGGTCCTAGATCTGAACGGGTGGTGAAACCGGTCGCACCGCGACCGAGACCCGCAACGTAGTTCTCGGGGGCGGGCTGGCTCAGGAAGTCTTTCCGCCCAGAGGCCATACTGACCGAGACACACGTCACAGAAGATGAAGTAAAGCTGAAAGACCGCGGCGAGGCTTGATAGGAGACGGGGTGGTGGCAAGCGACGTAGGCGGTGGATATCGACCGATGCTTTGCGACGGGCCATCGGGGAGAGCATCGCATTTAGATTGTTCCGGCCCCGGTAATCTTATCAGGAAGTCTCCGCAATACCTTTGATTTTTTTGCCTTATTCACAACCGGAGTGGAGCACAGCACCGAGGGGTCACAAGGTCTCTTTCGAGAACCTCTTTTCTTTACATTGCATTCCTATCTTACAGCAACGCCGACCGTGGTAATCGCTGCTTCGGATCACCGCCATGCCTAAGGTCAAACAACAGAAGCGCAACAGCGCCTCCAAGGCCAACCCTTATGCAGACGCTGCGGCCAAAACTAAAGCAGCCAACAGCATTTTCAAGATGAACACAGACCTTGGTCAACATATCCTGAAAAATCCCGGCGTCGCCCAACGAATTGTTGAGAAAGCTGAGCTGAAACAAAGTGACGTGAGTAAAGCTCTCGCTATGTATTTTCAATCCGGCACACCTAAAGTCTGATATACCTCGTCTCACAGGTTGTGCTGGAAATCGGTCCTGGTACAGGTAATTTGACCGTAAAAATCCTCGAGAAAGCAAAGAAAGTCATCGCCGTTGAGCTGGACCCTCGAATGGCTGCCGAGGTCACAAAACGTGTCCAGGGCACGCCCGCCCAGAATCGCTTGGATGTCATTCTCGGAGACGTGATGAAGACGGAGCTTCCGTACTTCGACGTCTGCATTAGCAACACTCCCTATCAGGTGCGCTTTCATTTATAAGTCTTTTTCTCAACCAATCTCTATCCTAACCTGCTTGCGGCCAGATCTCTTCCCCACTCACATTCAAGCTTCTCGCTACCTCGCCAGCTCCTCGAGTCTGCATTCTGATGTTTCAACGAGAGTTTGCGCTGAGACTCTTCGCTAAACCGGGCGATAAACTGTATAGTCGACTCTCTGTCAATGCCCAGATGTGGGCCAAGATCGATCACGTCATGAAGGTTGGAAAGAACAACTTTAAACCACCTCCGCTGGTCGAGTCCAGTGTAGTCCGCTTAGTCCCCAAAAATCCCAGGCCGCAAATCAACTATGACGAATGGGACGGACTTCTAAGAATCCTTTTCGTCCGGAAAAACAAAACAATTCGATCAAGCTTCCTTGGGAAATCCACTGTTATGGACATGTTGGAAGCTAATTATCGGACATGGTGCGCGCAAAATGACATTCCTGTAGAAGATGGGCCAGCGGGTGTGACTGGAGCAGACGCAATGGACACAGGCAATATGGAAGATGAGGAAGATGAGGACGAGGTTGAAGAAGTCATGGATGTGGATGATGAAGATGACGTGCCGGACTTTTTCAAGGAACAGGAAAATGCCCGGATACAAGAGGCGCTAAAGGGTCAGCCAAGCCGAAAGAAGAGAGGAAAAGTGGGAGAGCTGGTTCGGGAAAAAGTTCGGCAGGTACTGGAAGAAGAAACAGGCCTCGCTGATAAACGTGCCAGGATGTGTGATGAGAATGATTTTCTGAAGCTGTTGTGGGCGTTCAACCAGAAAGGCTTCCATTTCACCTGAACACACTGCTGGCAAGAAAGAGCGCGTATCGGGCCTCGGGATCTTCTGGTGTATGCGAAAACAAGATCTCTTTAATGATTCACGACAGTCGTCATTGAAAGCCATTCTCAGGTGACCGATCTCCAGCCGGGCGAAGATGGGCACGAGAGTCCTGAAAAAGACTTTGCCATATGTAGGCCTCACTTAGCAAAAGTTCAATATCCTTCTCAGTCCAGCCTTTCGTCGGTAGGGCTTGCAGAAACATCATAATCTCCTAATTCTAGTTAGCTTGGTCTGAGATGGTACAGCTCTCCATATGAGATACCCACCTGAAAGTCCATTTTCACCAATTGATCTGTCCACTTCACCAGAAATGCCGCACACACGTAGAGGTGGAAGCGTGAGAAGCCCTGCTCTTCAGCCTATACGCATATCATCAGTAAAAACGTTAGAATTATAATCTCTTTGGAAGTGGACATGCAATACCATATATGTATCCCACATCCTTATGGTATTTTGCACGCTCATTTCTCGCATGAGGAGGCAATTCATCCATCGAAAACTGAATTGCATGAATTCCACACCCTCATGCTCTAAATGCTTGGCCAGCGTAGAGTCTATGCGCATGGTCAAGTCACGCAGTGCTCTGACTTGCCTGTGAATCCCAGGTTGAGCATAGATGTAATTGTCCTGAATTCCGTCTAGGAGTTTGGTAAGACACCAGAAGGAGTCCGCCTCCACCGCATCCAGCACACTCCGAGGTAATTGACCTGGATCCATGCCTTCCTCGACGTTAAGATCGGTGACGTAAAGCCCAAGAAACACTTGCCAGAAAGGGGTCACAAGGTCATTTATGCCTTGGACATAGCCGCTGGCAGGATGACGTATAGCCCAGACATAGAGTATCTTCTCTAATGAGCGTTGAGTAGCCTCGTAGCTGTAGAGTTGGATGTGGGGGCTGGTGCGAGGAACATCTATACTAATCTGATGCCAGACCGCTTCATCTAACCCTCTACCTCGCCCTGTAACAGACGAAGGCGGGTTTCCGGAGGTTGAAGGACCTCGCTCAAAAGCTTGTCGAACCCCGTCCAGGTATTCCTTGCGCTTCCTTTCAAGGGTCGAAATGCGCCGTTCACTGTTTGTCGGCAAGTACCCTAGTAGTAGTTGCCAAGTCATTGCTCGCACTTCTTCTGGGACCCCTGACCACGCGAGATTCCTAAGTTCCGCAAGAGGAACAGTGCTCGTCTGTAGCAGACGCTTGAATTTGTTGATCCTAGAGATGCGACTCGAATACAAGTCCATTTCTTTTGGCGACGCATGTTTTGGTGGTTGCGCATGATCAATAAGATTAAGAGCATGCGCAGGATCTAGAATTCATTAGCAGATGCGCTTGGACCTGTCTGCGCTTGAGGATGCAACCAACCTCTCAAAATTTCCTTATACTGAGGGCGTAGGATTTTACCCTCTGGCTTCTTTGCTGTAGGGTAAATTGACACGCCACGCTCTTCTGCAATGTCCGAGCTATTTGCCCGTTGTCGATTGCTTCCAAGGCCAACACCAAGGGTCAAATGATCACCTATCCCTCCCCCGTGGTCAACGGTGCTAGATTGAACTAGAGCAGTGGCCCGATTTTGTTTTCTCCGCATGCTCGTAATGCTTGGGAGCCCAAATTCATCCTCATCATCATCGTAGGCTACATCCTCCTCCTCATCTTCATCTTCTTCCTCTTCTCCTTCGTCTGCCCGATGGTTTTCCCAAGCTTCCAGTCCTCCGTTCATGATGCCAGAGTATGATGTGCGAGGCGACGAGACCCATAAACCCGGCCGGTGTGGAGACAAGGTAGCATGTGGGGTACTGGTGGAAGTCACTGGAGGTGGTGTTCGTGGACGAGCATGTGGTTGTGGGCCTCTGTAGGGCATGCATTGGGGTCAATCACTAGAAGACAAGAGCGATTGAAGCGTGCGGCCGTGAGACTCACACTGATATATTGGCATGGGAGTATGAAGCTCCAACGACGGTATTCGACTCCGGGATTCTGGACGATGTCTGGTTGTGCGACACCGACCTAGCCTTCCAGAACGGCGAATTGCTTTTCCTTCGCGCACCGGTTAGTGAGTCTTTTTTAAGCTGCGGTGACAAGAAACAGCTTCAATTGATCCGCGGGGCTGAGGATTGACAACTCAGGATTGAGACTAACATACTCGATGCGATCTGTAACGACAACAGGGGGATTGATCAGTTGCGGGAGTCTCGTGGGCGAGATAGACGTAGGGATGAAAGAGGCACGAACCAACCTGGACCATCTCCTGATAACGAGTTGACCAAGCGATCGGGTCAGCAACCCAGTTATGTAATATAGTACTTTCGAAAGATGTCTGGGGAAGGGAAGCGGCTGCATCGAGCAGACTGAGGCTAACTCACCTGCTGCTGGCCTTTTTTGCTTGCCATTGCGTCAAGCTCTTTATGCAGAGGAGACGGGGTCTACTGAACAGATCATCAGCTGGCTACCAGGTGAGAAAAGTTAAAGTAGGAAGATTAAGAAGAGGAAGAAGGAGATCAGGGAAAGCTAAGTCGGGGATGGAGCGAGAGTGCGGGGAGAGAAGTATCACTGGCACGTGGATGTATGTATGGAGGTATGTATGTACAGTATGTACAGTTATGCACATACAGTAAGTAAGTAGTAACTAGTATTCCGCTAGATTGGAGCAGATAATGTACAGTACAGTATTCTTCTCTTGTCTCGCTTGCACTAAGAGGCTGCAAGCTCCCAAATGTTACACCGTCAATCCAGGGGAGCATCACTTGATAATAACACTAACTACTACAAGATGATAATAGTGGTTGGAGGAATGCTGAGCTTTGTTTCGTCATGGCCGCTACTCAGTCTGTCAGTCATGGTATTGCGGTTACCACAGGTCACTCAGTTACCAGAGGCATGTACAGTACTTTACATGTACTTTACACGTATCATATGGTCACTTACCTACCATACAGTCTTACCCGCCTCAATCCAACCTCCTCCGCTCCTACTTTCCTCTCTTCTCTCTCTCTCTTCTTCTTTCTCCTCCTGCATCTACACCTCCCTCCAACGTCCTTTCTCTTATTCGATAATTCTTTTTCATTCCATCACTCTCCCCCCCTCACTTTCTTTTCCTGGCACTAGACTTTTGAACCTGGTAGCAGTTCGCACTGCCTGACTCAATAATATTCCCGGTTGAGTCTTGTTTGAATCAATTCCAGTTCACCAGCCGGTGTTGGCTACCTCTAGAAATTACATTACCATTCCTCTCACGCTTTCCGCTTCCTAGCATCTTCAACCCAGTCACTTCGCGATTATGGCTGAACCTGAGGATGTTGAGGAAGACCTCTTCGCCGATTTGTAGGGCGCTCCCGTCAATTATCCCAGTGGAAGACATCATCTGACGCTCGGTATCCGCAATTCTAGGTACGATGCCGACGACACTACGGCTCACACGACGTCTGTTGTAGAGCCTCCACAAGTTTCAGACCCTATCACCGCCGCTCCACCGGTTCCCGCGACTGAACCGCATACGCAATATGCGGATCAGCACCATGGTGATGTTGAAGTGGGCGGATCCTATCATTATTCCCACCAGCCTGGCAATCATGTGGGAGGAGAAAACGGAGGCGCTGGCTTTCCGAACCCTTTGGCCACTCCAGTGGGCGACTCCGAACCTCAGGGGACCGGAATCAAAGAAGACGGGTGAGTACTATTTTCAATCGAAGATCCCTACATCGTGTTTTATTCGTATCATGCACTCTTCGTTGCGCTTGTGATTTTGGTGGTCACAGTACCAAAATTGCTTCTCATCCCCTTTCCTCATTTCTCGTCTTATCCCTGGTCATCAAGAGGGGATTTGTCAGTATCTGAATGTTGCCACTGCGCGGGCCTCATGTATCAAGCGAGACATGAGCGATTCTTGCACACTATTCATCGGGGCCCCATCCAGCCCCAACAATGGTTATTGAAAGTCGATTGAGTTTCGGGGTCTTGGTGCTGTGTGCGAAAGGGTCAGGTTCCAGTCAAGGATTTCTCCTGTTTTGGGTCGATCGTGGTTTCTAGATGGAAAAGACATCTCGGCCTTGAACAAAAAATTTGATATTAAGAGGATATCCTCGCTGGCGATGTTGAATTTCGTCTAGTACTCACCCCCCTCCCCCCCCACGTTACGAGGCTCGTGTGAAAGATCTGTCGGCGATACGGCAACGATTTAAGACTCAGGAAGACAGTTCTCGGGCCCCTAGCTTATGAGGCCGTGCTACAAGCGATTATAGTACACCCGATACTATATAGCTTCATGTCGATATATCATGATAGAGCACAGCAAGGAATGAGACCTTGACTGTCTAGTTTGGGAGGTTCTCGAACAGATTACCTAGCTTCGGACTTGATTAGACAGACAGGCAGAAGATTCTTTGGCCAAACAGACAGACAGACAGACAAGCATACAGACAGACAGACAGATAAGAAGGGAAAGAAAATGGACTTAATCCATCCGCCTCACATGCTCCAACCTGTGGTGACACCTGCCACATACCTTTTCGATGCTGGAAACCGCGTTTGGTCTTCATCTCACTGGATGGTGTTGTAAACCAGTGTTGCTTCCTGACTAGGAGACATAATGACTGTCTTGGACATGGAGATCCCTGGCAATGTATTGGTGGCCCAGACCGACCCGCGATGTTGAAGCCTTTTTTCCAGACTCTCGGCGTCTTTCTGGGTTCAGACGATGCTTCTGTCATAGTGACAGAGAGGCACCAAAAATAGATTGGCTCGTGTCCAATAACAAGCCGTGCACCGGCCAATACTCAGACCTATACAGCAAGCATCGCTTGATCCAGTTCCTTCACAGCATCCAGAATCATCGAGCTGCAACGAATGGAGCAGATCATCCTACCCCGTCCCTCGCGGCAGTCAATGGTCCATCGCTGGGGCAGTCATCTCCTTTGTCATTTTTCTGGATATTCTTGCTGCTGTTATGTTTCAATAATTCATTCGGAGTTCAATTGCGCTCCCTTCCCCAAATGTTCTTCATAGCGTTTACTGCTTGAGAGATTGCAGTACAGCGTTTGCTAATCGTGTCATGGCCAGGAAAATGTTCATTGGTGGCTTGAACTGGGAGACTACGGATCGTATGTACTTCCCCATGGCTGGCTGCGGCTGCTCCTCTTCGCCCATAAGTTATCTGACAAGTTCGATTAGAGTCCCTGAAAGATTACTTCTCTCAGTTTGGAGAGGTACAAGAATGCACTGTGATGCGAGATAGTGCTACGGGTCGCTCCAGAGGATTTGGATTTTTGACATTCAGAGACCCGAAAACTGTCAATACCGTCATGGTTAAGGAACACTATCTGGATGGCAAGATTGTAAGAGCCTCCGTCACACATTCCTTCCCGTACTGGGTTTAAAGTTCGTCAACGGCTGACCATGATGTGGCAGATTGATCCCAAGCGTGCAATCCCGCGTGACGAACAGGAAAAGACCAGTAAAATATTTGTTGGTGGCGTGAGCCAAGAGGCAAATGAACATGACTTCAGAGATTTCTTCACCCAATTTGGGCGTGTGATTGATGCCACCCTGATGATTGACAAGGATACTGGTCGTCCCCGTGGCTTCGGATTCGTGACCTTTGACAGTGAAGCGGCCGTCGAAGCGGCTCTCTCCCGTCCTCTGGAAATCCTCGGGAAGCCGATTGAGGTAAAGAAAGCCCAACCAAGAGGAAATCTGCGCGATGAGGAAGACCGCCGATTCCGCCGTGGCAGGGAAGGTTTCCGTGACGGTGGCGCAATGGGAAGCGATGGTTCGCAACCACAAGCCGGTGCCCAAGGCCAAGGTAGCATGGCTGGTGGACTCACCCCCCAGATGATGGCCCAGTATTGGCAGAGGATGCAGCAGTACTTTGCCCTGATGCAACAGCAGATGGCCGTTGCTGCGGCTCAAGGCCAAGGCATGGGCGGGATGGGAATGGGCGGGATGAACCCAGCCATGATGCAACAGATGCAGCAAATGAAACAGATGCAGCAAATGCAGATGGGGAACAATCAAGCACCACAAGAGAGTCTTAGCCCTCCGTCGCAGAGCGCAACGCCCCAAACAATGGCACCGAACATGATGAATCCCGCCATGATGCAGCAGATGCAGCAGATGCAGCAGATGCAGAATCAAGGTCAAGCCAGCAGTTCCGGAAGCATGGCCGGTCAGATGGGGGGTGGGGGCAATGGAATGAACATGGCCGCAGCCAACGCAAACGGGAATTACTCGAATCATCGTGGTGGACCTGGCTACAATGCTCAGGAGCAAATCGCCTTTGAGCAACAAAAGTACGAGCAGCAACAGGCACGCCGAGCCATGGAAAACCGAGCTTTCTCTCCCTACCAACAAGGTGGGCCAACTTCTTGGGAAGGTATGTATGATGAAGTACCTCAGCCGAACATCCCGACCGGGCCCCAGGCCATGACCCGCGCGGGGAGCATGGGACGCGGTATGTTTTTCCTATCCTGCTATCCCCAGGTCCTTCCTGCCTGTCAATTTCCTTATCTGCCCGAATATGCTAACACCGAAACATGAAGGTCCGACTCCGCAACCTCAAAGTGCTGCTCCAGCCAATGCTCCAACCGGCCCGAAGAATGCCGGCAAGCCAGGCGCTAACTATCGCGGTGGAGGCCGTGGAGGTCACCGGGGCTTCCACCCTTACTCGCGCGGTTGAGGACATGGTTTTTTTCCCCCTTCGCTTCTTGTGCTTTTCATTTCCACACGCTTGTACATGTGCGGTCAGTCTCCAATGCTACCTCCCCCTTGGGATCTTCATCAATCAGTCAGATTCCTCGGTGGTGCCCTTCCACCATTTGTTCTATTCTTCGCGACGTGAAAGAGCTTCAACTCTCTCGCTGGCCACCAATCCAAAATGGCATGATCCTCCAGCAGCAATAGTGACCTTTGATACTACAAAACCCTTGAAATATGCATGGCCACGCCCGATTATTGTTGCCTATCTTCTTTCTTCCCTGCCCCTTCCCTTTTTTTGACTGTTCGTACTGTATCTCTTACACTCTCTTCCTCTCATTGTTCTTTTCTCCCGCGGTGTGTGCGTGCGAACTAATCCAAATTGTGCATGGCATCTGGCATGGATTGCTATGGTCTTTATTCTGTTCTCAATCCTGTCTTGCTATCGCTTTATGTAACAAAAACCTGGGTTTATGCGGTGGAACGAATCTTCTGTGCATACCTAAATTATGCGTAGCCAACTTGGTAGCCTGAGGGCATCAGTCTCAATATAGGAATAGCAAAAAAGAGCCAGGCCCAGCTTAGTGGCAGTTTACATGGAAAGAAGGCATCCCGGAGTATATGCTTAGGGTCCGTGCTTGCGATAAGCATGACTATTAAGACTGATATCTTGGATATGGTTCAAATAACAGACCTTATGGGGTAAAGATGTTGATGGTGGAGGGAGCTAAACAGCGAGGATACCAGAAGCAAGTGCAAACCACCACCACCACAAAAGTACGCTAAATTTGATGAAAACTGACACAAAAAAAATCTATGTCCAAGAAAGAGTTCCACGCCGGGAGAAAAGAATATAACACAAATCGTAAATCCCAATTTATCCCAGATGGAGGATCAATAAGCGAACCCATAGCCGGGGGTAGTGGCATGGTGCCTTTCAGGAGCATCATGACTGTCACGGCTGCGCCGACTCTCACGGCTTACAGCACGATCGTGTTGCTCTTCAAGGTTATAACCAGACCCAACTAATCGATCCAGACTCCCAGTGGGACTCTGCCGCCCTTTGTGATCGAACTGGTCACGGTATGGCTCGTAGGGACCGGTGAAATTGAATTTGCTCATCTCGGCGTAATCTTTACGAGGAGGGTTGTCCATCAGGAGAGACTCGCGGGCGTCCAAGGGGGTCAGATCGTCCATGTCGCGATTCATCTTGTCTGTAAGAGCAGATTGAGACGATTAGTATATAGCCTTGTAATTAGGTCCAATATTCGGAATTGTTGCGACTTACCGGCCTCTCGTCTCCGCTTCGCATGAGGATTCTCGCGACAGCAGAGGAGAATCGCGTTGACACAGATTAGAATGGCCAAGATGCCGGTGAAGCCAGCCTGGACCGCGATGAGAACAATTCCGGTGACCGTCTTGGTTGTCTCTGATAGGCCGAGCTCATCCACAAACACCAAAACAAGAACAACCGACAGAACGCGTACTACTTGCACGCTGGTGTTGATCCATTGGCTCGATTTCACAACGTATGGGCGATTCCACAGTAGCATGACCAACATAAGCGCTTCAACGATAAGCTGACCCGCACTTTGCGCCAGCCCATGGCCATTACCCGCCGCGATAATGCACCCCTTAGCGAACATGTATACAATGGCGGGTACGAAAATCCACCAATAATCCTTCTTGTAATTGTCGTAGAAAAGACTGTACTTGCGCCAGGTTTCGCTATCATCGTACAAGCGAGATGCGTCGCCTTCAGACTTTCTGAACTTCCGTGCCAGATAAGCAATCCGAAGGCCGAAGAACAGGAGCACGGCTGTGAATACAACCAGAGCAACGGCAGCCAGAATTTTTGCAGCCCAGGAATCTCCGCTGCTAAGTTGGTAGACACACCAGATGACCCAGATCCCATATAGAATCAAGATTAAATTGGTGATTGTCCGCCCGAGGAGACCCCAATAGTCCTTGCGAAAGTTGAAGAGCTTCTGAGGGAAAGACCCATACAAAGCCCATACTTCAAGGATGACTTTAAGGAGCAAAATTCCCACAGTGATGGCGGCAATGAGAATGGCGAAGATAAGCAGCACAGTCATAAAGGTATTCCCCTGCGGCACAGTCAATTGCTCTGCATAGGCCTCGATCCCCGATACCATATGTTGCAATCCACTGCTACTGCTGGTACTGTTGGTGGTACTGTTGGTGGTAGTGGAGTTTGACGTCGTGAGATCGCGGGCGACGAGGTTGGCAGCACCAGCAGCCCAGTCAAGGGCACGCTTCGACTTGCTCGAGTTTGACGTGGAACCGCTTGAATACACCAGGGTGGCGTTTAGGAGATATTCGTAGCTGTTTTCGGTCAGATTTCCGCCTGTCACCCGGCGGAAGCTATCAATGGACTCCTGCATCTGGCCCCACGGGATCAGGCCTGTGCTAAAGGCAAAATTCTTGGAAAAGCTGCGGTAGACCGTAGGATAATTGACGCTAAGCATACCATTAGTCGCCATGGTGTGAAACCAGGTCATAACATCGCCGAAAGATGGGCTGGATGATGAAGCTCCAGGGTGACCAGCAGCACCTAGAGCGGACAACCCGCTCACAGCTAGAGCCGCCCCCGCTACGCCAGCAGCAGCATAAGAGACACCTGCAATCTGCATTGTCTTGCCGTTACTCAACTCTGTTTGGATGCAAGCCAGCTCGTCATCGTTTTTATCCTTCGACAGCAACTCAAGCTTCACTTGGCCATCCAGATCTGGGATAGCGAATGCGATGGAGGGGATTTGACTTGCAATGGAATCAGGAACCTGCATCTGTCCCTGGGCCGTAAAGCTGCCGGCCGGCACGGGGCACAGGGCTGCCGTGTAATACTCGGTGCCACAGGGATCGAATGTTTTCGAGTAGAGTTGACTGCCATACGCATAGATTGTGATGGAGCCAGTAACATTCTGTTCTTTCGTATTGGTACCGCCGACGTTATAAACGAGTTCATTGGTTGATTTGGTGTACGTGACATCAAGATTATTGACTTCAATGGCCGAGTCCGTCAGGCATGTTGACAAACCATTAGTGCTCAATGTATCCGCAGCGAGCGTCTGGGAAGCCCACAAGCCCAAGGTAGTGAGCGTGGAATATGAAACGAGAGTGGTCCGCATTTTGGTTGACAAATAGCACAATTCGTCGGATTCCGGAATTCAAAGTGCTAACATCAAGAACCTCTAATTCTTGCGCTAAGATGGTGGTGATATTGGTAAAGCCAGTCGAGGCGGCGACCATTAGAATAAGATATGTACCGAAGCCGTAATTCGGTCAAATCGCACAGCGACTTGATATGAACGGGGTCCCCGAGGGGTCAACAGGATCAACCTGGACAGAACGGAAGGACAGCAACAAGGACTGAAGATCGGGTCGGCGATGAATGGCGGAATAGGAGTCGTATGACTAAATGAACAGCGAGGCAGTGCCCAAGATCCCACAGTTACTAGACCACCTTATCTCTTGTAGGTCCAGCACTTGTAAGATACGTTCACTCGGATGATGATAAACGCCGTGTTAGCTTGCCAGAGAGCTCTCGCAGCACCTCACAGGAGCACTAGCTAAGGTCGGATCAAAACTTGCTTGATTCTTCCGAGGCAGCAGGTAAGAAAGAGTGGTGGGCAATGGATGGAGCGAGAGTGAGAGCAAGACAAAGCGATAGAATGTCCAAAGGGAACTGATTGTCGTCAATGATGACCAAGGCGAAAGCAGACAAAGCGGATTGCGGAAGACGTAGAAAGAAAAAGTGTGCAAAAGAGGGAGGAAACGTATAGACTAGCGATAATGAGTGTGTGGATGGGAAGGTGGGTAAGGGTAAGAAAGATGGAGACAAGCAAGCAAACGGTAAAGGGGAGGGAGAGGGAGGAGAGGAGGGGGAAGAAAGAAAGAGTAGGAAGAGAGAGAGAGTACGGAGTAGAGAGATTGCTACAACTCCCCTAGCCAACCTACTGATAATTTACAGTTCGACGAGACTACTACATAGTAAACTTCGGTACTGTACTAAGTACACTAGACTCACTAACTGGAACCTACTACTGAAGACTCAGAACAGAGCAATCATCCTTCCATTATTAGTCTCTTATACCGAGATTGGCATGACTGGATATTGAAGCGCCCGAGCGGGCGGAGCGGGATGAGCCACTAAAGCCTGATTAGTATTAGCCAGGGGCTGCAAAGATGAAACATGGGCTACTGATAGGCTGATGGCAGCCGCCCCCCCACTGCACTGAATCAAGATTAGTCATACTTCACTCCTGGTTTGTTGGTTCATGTAATTTAGATACAGTACATACAGTACCTGGTTGCTTTTAATCCTTCCGAGTATCTACTTATAGGTTGTCTCAATTTGAAGTTCACATTGCCAGAGGGTGGCAATGAAACCCTGTAGAATACTTGCAAGATTATTCACTGCTTACAGAATAATACTGAGTAACTTGTAACTTGGTTTACTGAAGGTTAACTTCCCTAATATTGCTAAATATAATTTCATTCCCGACCCCCCTCCACCCCTTCTTTTACTCTCTCCCTTCTTCCTTTAAACGCAATACCAACCACGGTTCTTGGTTGGTGTCAGTGACGGGTCGGGAACGGGCCCAATTGTTTTCAGCCCGTTGCTGGCAATTGGTGCCTATCCCAGTCTAGACTCTAGACTCTCCAGACCACTCCTCCCAATTATTATTGGCGTAATAATTGTCGACTCAGGCACGGATAGGTGACGATAGGTCATCAATATACTGGGGTCTATCAATTCAAAATGCAACTCTTCGCTAATAGAAGAACAGTATTTTCTGCCTGTGTTGGCTTAGCCGCGAGAGATGGCATTGGCATAAAGCATAAAGAGGGCAGAGAGAAGAAAAAAAAAAGGGGGGGGGGGGGGGTAAATCAAGAACCACTTAACCACCTGACAAAGAGACACTCATAGCTGGGGACATACTTACCTACCTAGACTACCTCAAGTACTGCTGTACTGAGTCGAAAGACAACCCCAAATAAACCAACCAACCAACCAACCTCTCTCACTCTTCTGGGACAAACAAAGAAACAAATTGAAAGCCTCCAGGCTGCCGCCCAGCCCCACCATCCTGAAATCGCCCCAGAGTCCCGGACAATGAGCCAAACGTAGACAGCCAGACTTGGGCCACACCCGTCCGCCACGCATTTCGGCGACAACTTGGAAACCTCCGTAGGAAACAATTTTTTAATTACCTACTTATGTAGTACCCTCACGTAGTGACGACATGTTATTTTGTACCAGACAAGGACTCAAGCAGACCAGGCAGAAAGCAAAAACTCTTCTCTATGGCTTTACAAACCGATCAATCGCGGATCCGATCCTGCATCAATGTTATCCGAGTATTCCATCGCCATCTACTATCATGATTTTGGTCTAGCTCTGAAGCTTCGCTTAAGAGATAGAACCAGGTGGGCCAGTATTTCCTTCTGGGGGCTCATAGAGTGAAGCTTAGCCTTTTGAGGGAGAGAGGAGGAGGGCCCCGGGGGGGGTGCTCTATGACACGAGCGAGCGAGCTAATTAAACCACGCCCACGTCAATCTTACGATTACT